TGACTTCAATAACCAGCCCTACAAATAAAACACAGATTATTTTCTACAGACTGTGATGGACAAATGTTACAAAGTGTCTCTGAGAAGTTATTTGGTGACACCACATTCAGGACTAACTCACCAGTTGAACCAAACTGCAGGTGGAAAAGCTTCTTTAATCCAGATAAACTGCTCATAACTTTGATACTCCCAGAATCCTGATACAAACTCTGTTCGAGCACAGAGGTGAAGACTGACTGTGTAATATCCGACATGTAATAGAGGGTCATAGCTCAAGATTTCACTGTAACCCTCGTAGGGACCAGCTCCTCCCCGCACATTATTTTCCTCTGCTCCATTACTCAGCTGATGTATGTGTAGATGAGGGGAAGGATGGATGGTCATTTACATCACCTGCCACAAGGATCACTGACGGCACTGATTCGCAGTGCAAGTCAGCATAAGGTTGAAGCAATATTTCCGGCCCAAAATTGGCTTTTTATCAAAAATCTGAAATTGGCCAGTCAGTGTGTTATCCACCTCTGTGTGGAAGGAGTCTGTCCGCCCCCCCCCCCCCCCCCTTTTTTTTTTTTTTTTTTTATACCTAACAGTACAGTAAAAGCTCCAGTCTCTAAAATACACAGTGAGATTAAAGCTGAACAATGATCTTTTAAAGTGCAAAAGTATAGCAAAGTATAAATATGTTATTAATATGTTATTAATATGGCTTTAGTGTTGATGTAAATGACTTCTGTCTTGACAATGAAAACAGTTTTAGGAGAGATGCTGAGATTTTAAAAAATGCTTAAGAACTGTTTCTTAAATGCTTTTTTTTAACATCAGCTAAAACTAAGAGATGTTATCATCAGCTTTCAATCTCTCTCATCCATCAGTTCACCTCAGTCAACAGGGTTTGAGCCAAAGAGCGCCAATGCTAACAACTATTAGAAACCTCATGATCAATCCGGTTAGTATCAGCTCCATCCCTCTTCATTTTGTGTTTTTAGCCACACTACAAAATGAAACTGTTGAAGCTGAAAAAACATGCATTAAAGAACAGATCGATGAGACTGTTGGTCATTAAACCATCTAGTGTCACTGCCTTGTAGCTACAGGGCAGTCAGATTCTCTGTTAGATAATCTAACAGATGGTAAACATCCATGACTAACACTCTAAGTACATCTCATAATATTTTGCTAATCTCTGGACCTTCAGAGTTGAGCAGCTTTTTCTGTCAGTCAGTGAAATTATAACCAGGGTTGATTTTAACATTATTTGTTAATCTGCTGATTTCTAAATGATTTCTTAATTAATCAATTGTTTTGTCTGTAAATCTTCAGAAATCAGTTTAAAAAAAATAAAAAATAAAAGGCCATCAGAATGTCCCAGAGCACGAGTGACATAATTCAACATCTTTTTTGTGTGACCAACAGTCCAAACCTGAAAAGATTCAGTTTACTATGTCAGACCAAGGAAAGCAGAAACATGCAGAACATTTTCTCATTTGAGAACCAGGAACCATCACATCTTTCTCATTTTCCTTGAAAAATGATGAAAGGGGAGACTTTCTTGACTTTTATTTAGATACTGGAGTTTTGTGGGGAAAAAAAAAATTAATTAATTAAAAAAAAAAAATCTTATTTTTATTAATTGAAAACAGAATTAATTGTATTATTTTAATATTATATTGTAGCAGTAACAGCTGTTAGACTAATGTTTGTTGTCCTTTTGGACGGAGCAGTGACCCTCTAGAAAAGCACTAACAGGCTCATTTGATCCTGTCCTGAACAACCCTGACTCCAACAACGGCAGATAAGATTTTATATTCACATTCTACACAGTGTAGAAATTTCTCTAGATAATTAATGTTGGCATGGATGTCACTGCGTTATTGTTCATCTTGTGCCAGATCTGAGACTAATTTGATGAACAGCCATTTCCATTTTTTATCATTTGTCAGTGTCGCCTCTTGGTTTTCTGTAAAGGCAGATCTGAAAGGTTTGGACCTTAAGTTGAACTAAAGGTGAATAACAAGATTAATCCTGCAGCAGAGACTCCAGACACATATCTTGTCTGGATCACTGCTTTTTAATTACATAGCCATGTTGAAAGAGATAAAAACTACCCCTCTCTCAAAAACCCCCCCCCTCTCTCTCTCTCTCTCTCTCTCTCTCTCTCTCTCTCTCTCTTTCTCTCTGTTCCACTTCCACATCTCTTTTCTTTTTTTTTTTCTTACCTGAACAGTTTGTCATCTCTTCTCCTCCTCGTCTCTTCCCTCCACATTCATACGCCACTGTTTTTGTCACAATGAAATGTGCTCATATTGATTACCCTGCCTTCATTTGTTCTATGTCCGACACCGCTGACAGTTGTGATCAATGTTAGTAGGATGATGCATTTCACTTCTGTGTTCAAGCATTACAAGTAAATATCACATATTCAGTCACTTATATATTTTCCACTGATGGAAAATCCTGCATTGTTTCCACCATTAACAACATGTCTTACACTCAAACTTTTCACCTGTCCTCCTCTTCTTGTCTCAGGCACCTGTTGGTGACGGCAGGAGAAGACCGTTACGTGAAGACGTGGGATCTGAGGAGGCTCCATGATCCAATCACCATTCAGAAACGATACCTGACCAATGAAATCTATTGGCCGTTGAATGCACCTGGCCTCCTGATGGCCCAGGAAACCGCCTACGTAGCGTAAGGAAGCTCCTCTTTTTACTCATACATTCATACATTTACATTTACATGGCATATTTCCATAAAGACTCTGATATTACAGGAGGTCTGTGATGCAAAGTTGGGATAATTTTGTCGACTCCAAAACTGGGGGCAGGCAAATAATTAATATAATTTTTAAATAATTTAGTCAAATACAGCAACATCTACAGCCTCAAAATCTGCCACACACACAGTTAGGTCTTTGTCACTATAGGAACTACTTATATTTCCACTTTACTCCCTCTGCCTCTGGGGGCGAGATCTTGAACCTAGCTTTAAGCACTCCTCAGGAGGTGGCACTAAATCCAAGGAGGGAAGAAATGCAACAGTGGCTCTGCAGGGCAGGTCAGCGGTGAGGGAGCCGGTCTGGAGCCGAACATAAATCCAAAGCGTTCTGGTTTGTAAAAGACAGTGGAAAACCAGGTAGAACGTAGACCTTACAGAGTTCTAACAGGTTCACAGTATGGGACGTTCCTGCTTACAGGTTAAGTTCCCATAGTGGAAAAGGTCGAAGTGTCAACAAAAAATGGACACTGGTTTTCTTGTTGATGTATTTTTGAAGTGTACTCAAGTGATTAAGTGTTGCACTTCCATAAAGCAGATTAAAATTATCAAAACAATCAAAGAAGCAGAGGTTTAGATATCCCCACTCCTTCATATGATTCAAGCTCCAAACAGCAAATGGTTTAAACTCAACATCCCATGTTTTTAAACACAACCCAGTTCCCCCAGGCTTTCTGTTATGTCTTCAACCCAGGATGAGAAAACATCTGCTGACATCAAATGTGTTATTTTTCTTGACAAATCTCATCCAGAGAGGATGTGAAACAGCTGCTTTCTCAGGCTGTGTAGTTGTAGTCTGGCTCCCCATGACTATTAAACTGACTTGCACTTAAAATTGTTGGACTTACCTTTTAACTGAAGAAGTATCTGAGGTTTCATGTGTCATTATTTCTTTCTTTCCTTTTCTTCCCTCCAACCTGTCGTGTTTAATTCTGTCGGTTCTGTTTTGTTTTATTCAGGAAGGGTTCACAAGGAGTCCATTACTTTGACCATTCCATGAACTCCCTCTTTGCCATTCCCAGGACTGGCACTCTGTGGGTGAGTGTGACTCTTCAATCCTCCAGTCACTCACGTCCTCTAACTCATTCATGGAGCACAAAATAGATGAGCTCTGCTCTTTAAGAAGTCTGTGATTTGTGGATGTGACACTGATGAAGACACGTACTTTCATCCGTGGATAAACACACATTTGGTGCTTTGATGAGAATTAATGGCAGCAGGACTTTGCATGGTGTCTTCACTTAAACTGCTGTGTCCATGTTTTAGTTTTAGTTTTTATTTTCTTATGCACACAAACACAACTACATAAACCAGATACAGTAATAGAAAAAAAAACAGGTGTGACAGGAGAGGTCACACATCTACACAACTACATCAAACCTCTTATAACAGAAACTATCTTTAAATGTCTTAGATTCACTATAAAGTCATTTAGGAACCAGTTTTCTCCACTGAAAGTTAGAGTCAGTTCATATTATGCCAACAACAATCCCATAAATTTTAAATTTTCTCACATTAAAGTAATTCTTAGTGAAACATATAGAATTTAATTATGCGATATTCCAGCAAAATCCCAGACATGGCAGTAATTCAAGAGAAAACGACTGTGGGTAATACGTCAGTGCTGATTGGTCTGTTTCTGTCGTTGCAGTCCATATCTTACACTGAGTGGCTGAACAGCGTGGTGACAGCAGACAGCCTCGGTGAGGTGATCCTCGCCCTGTTACCTCAGATGACCAGCAGTCCTCCGTACCTCAAACGCACCATAGAGAGACGCTTCGTAAGTTTAATGCTGTGTTAACTTTGATCCCTACTCTTTCTTTTTTCTTTCATCTTAAGTTTTTTTTTTTTTCCATCTTTAGTCTGAGATGTTCATTTGATGTTACGTTAGACTTTGACAACTTCACCACATCTTGAAATCATCAAAACCTGAAATAATAAAAACTTGATCCGGTGGCTTTTAATTTACTGTCAAAACATAAACTTTACAGTCAAACACTGGATTGAATATGACAGAAACACTAACAGGATCTGAAGACAGTCCCTTTCATTAACCTCGCTCATGCTGTGTCTTCAGCCCATCTACTTCACATCTGTGATGCCTTATGATGAAAGTGAAAAAGAAAATCAAGACCAGCAGGAAGGAGGAGAGGCGGAAGAACTAGATACTGGATCTGAAGGAGGGAATGAGAACAGAGAAGAAGGAGGAAGAGGTGGAAACGATAAATATCCCCCTCTACGGTTCCAGACCTACAAAGAGGCTGTGAAGAAATACTGCCTCCACCATACAGACAACGATATGGTGAGTGATGATAATCTTTATGTCACAAAGTGCTTCACAGCAGCGACAAATTAAAACAACAAAGAAATTAAAGAAAAAAAGAATATATAAAAGACCAACCTGAAAAGAAAATGTAAAATGTAAACCATGTAATATCATTTATTCCATCTAGTTAACGGTTAGGAAACAAGAAGATTTCAGAAAGCTTCTACTTGCCATGATAATTCATTCTTTAATTATGATTGGTCTGAAAACATTGTCACTAAGTGAATTCAGTTTTTTTCTCCTTTTTAATGCACATTAAAAAAAACAATGTATTAAACACTGGAAGTTCTTTAAAAAAACATCAAAAATTGCAAAAAGTTTTAATGCTTGAACAAGGTGTAAATTGGTGTATTGACAAAAGCAAAATGCCATCAAGTGCAGTGGAAACAAACATGGCAAATAAATCATGAAGCATGTGACTCCAACATCGCCTGAAGACGAAAACAGATCACATTGGAGCGATGAAGATACTGAAAGGTTACAGTTAATATACGAAAAACAAACATACATCCTTTATGTTCATTTAAAGTTTAACTTAAGCTCTTTCAATTACATCATCCCATTGCACCTTCTTCTTCTGCACCTGGCCGGAGAATCAGTGCCACCGACTGTTCATCTCCACGCACTCAACTTAATATTTGCATAATGATAGTGGATTGAAATGTACAATAATTGACATTTTCTTTGGCAAATTTTATGAAAATTCAGATAGAATTTGTACATTTGAATACCTAAATGACTTAAGTAACATTAACGTAATCTGCCAGTTATTTCCTTCATTAATGAATTGCTTTGTCTAAAAAATATGAGAAAATTGTATATCTATATATATATATATATCAAATTATAATATTTGTGAAGCTTGAACCAGCAAGAATTTGGTATTTTTGCTTGAAAAATGACCCAAGCGATTAATTAAAATAGTTGATCGATTTTCTGTTGATCGACTAATTGGTTGCTTGGCTAATTCATTCACTGACTGTTGTTGCAGCTCTACCTTTAACACTCTAACAACCATCTCCTCCGACTTCCAGCGAACCTTTGCACGAAGCGAGAGACGAGCTTTGTGGAAACGCATGAAAGACACAGAAGTGAAGACAAAGATGAACCTGGATGAGATGCCTTTGGCTTCACTGCACAAGGTATAACACACACACACACACAAACATGTACGCAGTGCGAGGCATCATCAGACTCCTGCTGCAGCTCAACATGGAGAAGATGGAGAGAAGAGAAAGATAAAACACTAAATTGAAAGAGAAAGGAAACAGAGGAAAGCGATGACAGAGGATCCTCTTCCTCCTCTTCTGATGGGCAGCTATAAAGACGGACTGAATGTAATGATGTGTAAAATGAGAAAAATGTCACCCTCAGTGGAAGGAGGGAGGGGGTGGGGGGTGGGTGGAAAGCAGCCATTTGAGGATTTGATGTGTTTAATTTGAAGAGAGGCAGAGTGGAGGGTGTCGCCGTGCCCTCTGGGATGAGATGATGGACGGACACTTCACGGGCCGATCTCAAAAAACCCAAACGCCATTGGTTTTGTGTCCGGCTCTTTGTCTGAAGGGGATAAATGGATTAGAAAGCAGGAGAAGAGAGTGACTCAAGGAGAGGAAAATAAAGATTAAAAGACGAGGCACACCTGGAGGATTTATAGTGATGAAGAGAGGGATAGATGAGCGTCAGTAAAGGAAAGGAAGGAGGAGGCAGTGGTATTGACTTACTGAGAGCTACAGCTGAATCATTCAAAGAGGATGGACAAACATGCACTTGAATGAAGGTATCATTCGTTTATAAACCGAGTTACTCAAGTAGACGTAAAAGTTTTCAGACAATCGGAGTCCATTCATCAGTCAGCTACAGGTTCTTTATAAATAAGCACAATGTCGCCAAAATCTGGACTTTATCAGCTCCATAAAGGTCACGGCAGAACTGTTGTTTTTAAGTGTACATGCATTACGAGAGAAAGCTGGAGTGGCTCAATACAGAAAAACATTAGCAGTGCGGTGGAGGGGGAAAGTCACAGACATGGCTGCTCCACATGGGATTGAAATTATGGAAGTTATGCTTAGAGGTAAAACCGCTCGCTAGAAACACATTGCTTGTTCTTTTTTGACGAGTCCCTGTCTGAGTGCATCAGAGACATAAACAACTAGATGTCCCACAACTTCCTGCAGCCCAACAATGACAGAAGCAAAAATTGGAGAACTGGTTTTTAACCTGTAATTAGTTGTTTTGCTTTTTATTGGTTCGTTCAGTTAGCTTCACATGTAACAGCTCCTCTGTCCTGTGTGAACTCATTGTGGGTTCAAACTAGTGCTGACCGATAAATTGTAGTTTCATCGTCATCGCGATATAAACGTGCAATAAACACATCGCAAAAGACTGAGAGAAACGTGATGAATTAGAAAAAATAATTTGATTTACACACCCTATTCAGTCACACAGGGTTTTCAAAGCACAGCGCCTGAGCCAAATCAACCACAAACTAACCACGTTTTGGTGTCAGGCTGCAGCCACACACACACACACACACACACACACACACACACACACACAGCAGACAGCACAGAGGCGGTGGTGGAGACCAGTAAGGAGTGAACTTTTTACTAGAGCTGACAACGACTACGGTCACAGCTCTGTGAGTGTCATCACAACCCTACATTTTCAACTTCTCCCATCCACCGCGGTTTGTTTTACACCAGCGCAGCGCGTTAATGATAAGCCAATGGTGAACTGTTATAAACAAGCTAAAAAGGAAAAGTTTCTGTGGGCAGACTGCAGAAAATGAAATGACTTCTTGTATTGACAGTTGCTTTTATTGCCTTCTTCCTCTCCTCAGGTGCGTTTCAACCCGAACATGAACTGCCATATGTGGGTGGCGTCCGCAGGCCAGACGGGGCTGGTCAGGCTAAACTGTCTGAGGAGTATGATCAGCCCTCATGTCAAGGATATGATAAGCAAGAACCAGGCCCAGTTCAACGCACTATACTCCCCAAAAGAGCAGACGGAGGCCGTCCACACCGAGACAGAGCAGCTATAGCAGGAGTTTAACTTCAGAACCAGAAGGTGGATCACACTGGCACACGAGTGTATGACTGCAAAAACACAAACCTGCAAAAAAGTACTTAAAGGGTGGTGAAAACAACATCAATTTTCACTAGCACATACACTATACATTTACTGTACATCTTTTTGTTTTAATCATTTTTCAAGTGGCCAGTGTTCAGGCATAAACAAATGATCAACCTGACCAACAGCAGCTCAAAAAAACTCTCCCATGAAACTGAAAGTGTTTTAGTTAAATGTGGAACCACAGGTAAGTATATATTTTTACACTGTCACACCAGTGTCCCTTGTGTCTTGTCCATTACGTCACATGCTATGTAGCCACGCCTCCTACAGTCGTCCTTTTCCACTCCGCTGTTGCATTCTTTAACATATGCTCGGACAGAAGCTTGTTGCTGTATGTGAGGTAGTTACCCTTTAAAAAACAACTGAAAATATATATTTTTGCTGACCTGTGGTTTAAGGACATCTGTAGTGATGTCAAGCTGCACTGAGAGCCTGCAGTACAACTTTACATCACTGTCGGGTGTTTGTTGTCCATAAAAACTTTGAACACGTTAAAAATACCAACAATATACATCCTACTTTCTTCACTCCTGTCAACATAATGCAAAGCTGACGTTACTGACATGTGAGCAAACAAACAAGATTCTGGTCACAACATCGATGATATAAAGAACTGCGTAACAAAATGTGAGAAACGGGGTAAACCGCAAACCTTCTGGCTTTCTCATTCATTAAACAATTCTGTTTCGGTTCTGATTCTGTTCAATTTATAATCATCAAGACATTCCATTGCCGTTTATGTGAATTTTAGTTTTTTAGATTTCTTTGCCTTGCTAGCAAGAGTGTACAGCTACAAGAACGTCAATGTCGTTTGTTAACTCGTCTGATTGGTTGGTCAATTAAATCACTTGTGCTAGGGTTGTTTCCAGAGTCTTAGCCACAAGAATCTCTTAACAACATACTTTTACTTTTTCTTTTTTTTTTTACAGTACCTTAAAAATACACTGATTTTGTTATTGTGCCCCCTAAACCCAACCCACCTCACCATTGATGTTTTAAAACTGCAAACTGAGTTCCAAAACATCAATAACGATTAAGAGTGTGTCTTAAAGATCATTTTTGCTGCTGTATTTTTGTATTTGACCATTTTTCTCTTTTATAATGTTTAACAACTCAGGTTATAGCTGAGGGGAAATACTTGAATATTTTTATTGTAACTCTGCTGGATGTAATGTTGACTAATCTTTAGGTCTTTTTCTGTCTTGTTCTTTTCTTTACCTTTTGAATTTATTATTGTTATTTTGATGATTGAGTCAAAATTTTTAAATTGTAACAGCAGCAGTATTGTGACATGATCTAATTTATTTTTCAGTGTCAACAAACATTAAAATATATAATTATTTCCAGAAGTTGACTTAGGGGTTTGAAAACATACTTATCAGTTTAGTTTCTTTCTAGTTATTTACAAATCACATTGACAGTTTATGAATGATGTTTAGTTAACACCATGATAATGTCAGTCATGAAAAAATAATTACTGACATCATTATCTTGTTATTCATAAAAGTATCAAATCGTACAGGACCTGCTCTTATTCTGTTCTGTTGTTATTTTTGAAATGTTGCCTATAATAAATGTTTTTGTAATAAAAACAAATATTTGAATAAATTATAAAGATGAGATTGAAAGTTCATTCTTGACAAACAATCTCATCACAAGGTCTATTATTAGCAGTTCTGGAGCTTTCAATTGTTTCACATGATCTTTATCAGCGGATGGACTTGTAGATGTTTTTGAAATTGTAGATGTTTGTCAACTGCTGCTGTTTTCCTAAAGTGCTCAGAAAAAACATGGAAATTGGAACAAGCATATTACAGGTGGGCGAACTCTATCTGCTGATGAAGATCAGGTGAAAGTCAGGTGAAACAATCAAAGCTACTATTGGACTTTGTGCTGAGATTATTTTTGCCAAAAAAAAGTGTCTATTGGCCTGTTGTAACTGGATAAGTGATCTAAACGACAACTATGTAGCTTTAGTTTTAATGCCCTGGTACATTGTCTCTCTTCTATAATAATCCAGCCTCTTTCCATCATCTGCAGTCTTTTATTTCACTTTACAAAAAACTCTTGGCATACATAAAAATGAAATATCAAACATCACAGATGTGACAGTGGAGTAACGCGTTATCACCAGAACACATAGACAAATAGGGCTTTTTAAAGACCGATTGTACAAGGAAGATAAATGTATTTACACAAGTATACACAAAATCATACACAGATAATACACAATATTTGACATATTTACAACAGTCACACAAAGTATAATTGTCACAGACAGCAACAGCACAATACAGAGAGCATTCTCAAACATTAGACTTTCATAGTGAACAAACAGGAACGGTGTTTTTCTGGAATGAAACAAACTTTTTCAGAATACTTTGCCTCCAGTTTAACACTGCAGCAGTATATGCATTTATATCAAAACTGGTACAGTAAAATGCATTGGTCTTCGTTACATTCACTTTGTTTTAACTTAGTATTCATAGCTGTTGGATCCATATATATTCTCATTCTGCATGATTTCAAAAGGAAAAGTGTATTTAAATATACAGGATCTCATTAAAAATCGGTGAAAATATAGAATTTTAAAGAAGATATTTTTTTGATTTATCCTCCGCATGGTCTATCAACATATTTTGATTGGCAGTTGAACAAGAAACGTCTTACTGTACATGATATTGAATAACAGCTAACAACCATGCAAGTATTTGGATCAGAATGGATGTCATTGAGGCGTTTACAATGTACAACTGTCCTCTCTTTAAAAGCAACTATCAACACTTTATAGTAGCTGTGAAACATAACAGGCATGTCGTTTGGCTCATTGCCCATTCTTATTTGGTGCAAAAAAAATTATTCTTTTTACTCAAGTCCAAAGCATTGGCTTGTACCAAGTTCCATGAAACATGCTGTTGGTGTTTATGGTCCCCAGAGGATGAATCCTAATGATCTTGATGACACCATGATCATCCCATTAGCAACACCATCAGTCCAAAATTTCATTAAATTTAATTTGATTCGGCAGTTTGCTATCAAATTAAAGCATGTTCCAGCTCCCCAGAAAATGAACTTTCTTTTGTTTGTTCATTACACAACCTTTTCTCCTAGTGCCTCCCTGTAACCAAATGATTAGATCAGTCTTTTCTCAAGTGCTATGACCACCCTAAAATGTCCACATGTACTCAAGAAATAATAATCTAAATGGCAGTTTACCATGTATTGCTCTGAGCCAATCCTGCTCTCCAGAGGATGAACTCTTTACCATTTTGTTCATTACACAACCTTTCCCCTAGTGCCTCTCTCAGACCAAATGATCAGTTTTGCACACAACAACTAATGACCAGGATAGCTGTATAATATTCAGTGTATATTCATTGTCACCAGAGGATGAGTCTTTCTCTAGTGCCATTATCACCCTAAAATGTCCACATGTACACAAGAAGTAATGCAATCTACAGGGCACTTTGCCATGTCATTTAGCCTTTACTCTAGTGCCTCCCAGTAGATAAGAAAAGACAACTAATAAGCAGATATTCTCTGTCCCTAGATGATGAAGCTTAATCATCTAATTCTTATGAACTTGATATTCCCTTGATCTGTTCCTCAAATACAACCATTAGCCCAAGGTTTCCATGTGTACGCATGAAATAACAAAATCTATGAGACAGTTTGCCATGAAATGTTCTGGACATATTCCCGCTCCCCAGTGGATGAACTCCTTAATTTGGTCAAATTATCATTTTTGTTGTCAACACAACAGAGTAGCCTACTGTGAAAATTTCTCTGGACTTTAATGGTCCCCAGAGGATGAACTGTGTTGATCCTGGTAATCTAATGGCTCTTATTTCTTAAATCATCTGCATTCATCTGCAAATTTCCACTTTGAATTTAGTGAGCACATTCCTATTCCCCAGACAACTTTTTGTTTATTATACGGCGCCTAGCTACTCCCTCAGGTCTCAAGTTATCAGTTTTGTACCCAACATAACAAATGACTAGACTGCTGTAAAACTTGCTGTGAATATTGGTTTGGTCTCCATGAACCTTGTTGATTTCAATGATCCCATTACCATATAGTGTGATCTTTACCCCAAAATTCACACTTAGACACAAGAGCTTGCATACTAGTATAACCTGATTACAGTGATGAATTGTAATGAGTCAAGCTAGAACAAGCTAATAAACCCTCCTAACCCTCTTTGACCTGTTCTAGTGCCAACCTAATGTCCGATTTTTATATATTCCGCCACTTAAGTAACAAGGCTGTAAGATATCAGCAAACTTGTTAGCATGTTTATTTAATAGGTTACAATGACAACCGATGAACATCTTACCATGACGTGGACAACAGCAGCTTCTATGAGCTGCTATTGCTAACGGGGCTCGGATGCCGTGTTCATGTCATATCGTTCACAGGGTAATTTCGAAAAGAAAGGGGGAATTTCTGACAACTATGATATCCCATACTTGATGAAAAGAGCTACAGAAATGTCAACCAACGAGTGATAGAATGGCTGCAAAGTCACTGACGCTGGAAGATTTGATTCAGCTAATTAAAATGGAGCTATATACTATTTCTTTGCATCTGGTTTCCCTTGGTAACAAATTGCTATAAATATTCAAAAATGAATGTAGCCAGTTGTGAATTTTTAATATGACATTTCTTGTAGTAGACTAACCATCTATGAATGGTTAAATATCCTCAAATTTGGAAAAATGTGAGGTTCACCTGTTCTGCCAACTTTGCGGCAATGTAGCATTAGTCTTGGTAAAACTACTGTCACTAGATTTTTATGGCAGCAGGAACACTACAATGAATTTGCACTTTATAGGTCAGTAAACTAAAAAAGTAACTGAAAACTGTTGCTGTATGACTTGCGAAGCTCAAATGGATGGATGGATAGGCAGACGGATAGATGACAGCTTAGGGAGCAGAGAGACATACAGCAGATGGATGGGTAACACTGGAGCTACAGGAGGAATGAGAGATAGATGAGATGGATGATAGCGTGAAGCTCAAACTAATCGTCCGACTCCTGGACTAAATCACTTTTGCCCTCAGACTTGAATCTCTGCTCAGTGGAAGTGGCTGAACGCTTTTTCAGCCTGACACTTATTCATTCTCCTCCAGCTCAGTCCGTATCAATACTGTGCCCACCATTAGCTCGCTCTCAAGGTGATTTTATAGAGTTTTTTGTGTGTGTGTGTGTGTGTTTGACTCTGGAAACTGAAACAAAGAAATGCCTGCAACACAACAAAATTACTAAAAGACCTACCATCAAAAATAGCCCTTAATGTGTCCAGCTTTGTGGTTGTCTGTATTGTAAGAAGCATCAATTACATATCAATCATTATATTTCCAGTGAATTTAGCTCAAATCGAGATGTTTACTCGTGTAAAATGATCTTATTTTCCTGACCCTCCAACCCTCCCAGCATGGAGACAGATCTTTGGTATGATATACAGTACAGGAGCAAGTTTGGTCAAGCCCAGATTTGGCTGAATTATTAGACACTTGAGCCGGTATGTTTTGGTGAATTATAGCTTAAGGTTTAATGGGAGCACAGGTCAGGATCCTGCAGGTTTTAAGACCTGTGCGAAGGATCCAGACCAGGACTCATTTTACCAAAATCCTCGACATTTGTACTTTTCCACCTCAGGGTTTACTGGGACTTAACAATGCCCTTTTTCCTAAATCAAAAGGTTTGCACGTCCCAAAGCCTGGAAGTATCTTGAGAGGCTGCACTGACATCATGAATAGTTGTTGTCTGCCAGTCGTGTAATAAATTTGATAGCTGCTGTTTTTAAGCTCCATTTAAGGACAAATGCCACAGATATGTGGATTGAAATGGTAAAAATATTTACCCTTGCTGTACTAATCAGCAGGTTTAAAGGTCTGTATGGTGTATTGTAACCACACAATGTGACCCTCGCTCTTTCCGTGATCTCTCTAAGGCAACAACCAGCAGTATGTACAAATTTATATTTGTAAGGAGGTATTATTCATGCCTTTCTTCCATAAAAGATGTTTGCAATGACTTTATGTCAAGAATAAAGCTCACAGAACTTTTCAGCAAGTAAAACTCTTTAAAAAATGTAATTTATGAGCAGCTAGCAGTGCAGATCACCCAGTCTGACCTTCAGTGGGAGGCCGGCTGATGGAAGAAAGATGACAGTGGACTGTTGAGTGAGAATCTGGTAGATGATGGTGTGGTTCAGGTAGCGATGAAGATACAGACATCAAAGTCATCCATGTGTCCCCGGTGGGTTATTACATCAGGAGCTCCATACTAACAGTTGCTATTGTTTGCTTCATACTAATATGTTGGGTTTTGAATGATTATTATTGTGTATATGTCGCTTTATCAGGGAGGTTAGAAAATAAGTAATAGCCCTAGTTCTGTAAAGTAATAGAGAGCAACACGTGCTCCTATATCTGGCAGTTTCCTGAATTTACATGAGATACTAAAAATCAGGCAGTGTTTTATATAGTTAAATATAAATATAGTATATTTATATTTTATCATTATTTAAATTGACTTTTCATATGTCATTTTATTTATTTAAGTATAGGACTATAGCGGTTGAACAGAAAACCAAAAAACATTGTTTATAACTACTGGTACTCTAGAACTGGCCTAGCATCCATTCAATACATACAACACTTGTCATTACCACATCTCCTGGTCCCATTTTTACTTTTGTGCTTCAAAAGGACGCCTGCTGTTCCTGTTGGTCAGTCGTATTAATGCACATTTTATGGCAGCGTGTGTGGAGATTCGAGTGTGAGTAAAACACTTTTAACTTTCTTATTGAGCTGCAGTGATGAGTTCATTAAAGGTTTTCAGCTACTTTAAACTGAACTAGCTGTGAGCTAGCTAGCGAAACTGGTGATCAAATTTTGCTATTATAGATAACTTATAATGTATCTATCAATAAGTAATCATTTGAGAAGCAGGACTGTAATATGAACTTGTGTTTTAGTGACATGAGTCCAAAATTTTGGACGACAAGAATGAGGTGAGATGAAGCAGGTCTTATGGCTCTGTTGCATATTTGTTGGGACAGGAAAGCTGTCTTCGTCTGGGCTCTGTCTTTACAAGACAGCACCTTATTTACCCCATGTGCAGTTTAACCTCACTTTACCTCAGTTCTTCTGAAATATTTCCAGTATTTGGTGAAAACCCCATGGAACCCAGAGGACTGGAGCACCATGCATCCAGGAGGACTTAGTTAGCACGGTCCTTGTTAGCATGGAGCTCCTGCGTCAGCACTTGACAACCAACACATGGATGAATTCTCTGACTTTTTTCTTGTGACTTTAATGGCGAACAAAAAAAATCTACCAAAACCTCAGTCCACTTTATTTTTGTTTAACAGGAAGCTGTGTTGTGGATACATCTCTCACCGGTGCAGCCCACCCAGAGAGAATGAGAATGTGCTTGAGCGGTTCCATGTCCTGTTGCAGTCCAGTCCAGTTCAGTCCAGTTCAGTCCAGTCCAGTATCGGTATCAGTCACTGGGGTCCTGGCAGTGGGAGCAGTGGCTCATGTCTTCAGAGTAGAGCTCTACCTGGATGGTGATGCTGTAGAAACCGAACTTGGTGTGGAGCAGATCGGTGGCCTCCTGCAGCACAGACTGAGGGTCGGCACCCTCCTCTGAGGTGAACCCAGAAAACAACACCGTGAGTCTGTTGTACTGGATGTTGTTCTACTCTCTCATTTAAAACTTGAGAAGAACTTAGTGCTAAATGCTGTGTTGTAGTAGTGGATCACAGTGTTACGTTACCTATGGCCAGGTGAACAGAGACCAGTGCCTGGCCCAGCGTCAGGGCCCAGAGGTGCAGACTGTGCATTGACTTCACAGCTTTCACAGACAGCAGCACCTCCTTCACCGAGTTAAACTCTATTCCTTTAGGAGAACCTGAAAAACAGAAGGCCACAAATGAACACAGCAGGTCCTACAGTTTGTAAATGGTACTCTTAACTGCCAGAGTGAAGTTGAGTTAATATTTCTGAAGATGAAAAGAAGTCTGGTTGTGATATTTTTACACCTTAAGTTTAATTATGGACAAATAATCAGATAGTAACCACTTACAGTCAGTACCTGTAATGTTTTATTTAACTGTTTAAATATTGAATCATCATTTGGATGAATTTATGAGCATAAATGCCACTGCTGCCAATAATATAAACAAAGCCATCACTGAAAATGGCATAAAATGAACACCGCAGGCGTCAAGCTACTCATTAACCTCGTCAGGCTTGTTCTGTTTTTACTGAGTGTTGTAAAAGATGCCTCAGGTGTCACTTCTGGGGGGGGTCATTTTCAGTTAATTCATTCATGTGCAAAGAGAATTTTAAAATGTCCCAAAAATCTTAGGACATCCCCGGGATGTGACCATCTGTGCTCTTGTTTTTTTTTTTGTTCAGCATATACTCAAAAGTTAAAACAGCCGACGGAGCGAGAACGTTGACAGAAGCGCAGAGGTCTGTGAGCTTCAGCAGCAAAATCCTGGGGCTAGTTTTATTCCATGTTCATAAGCTGAAAATGGGGGAGTCTTGCCATCTACCATCAACCGAGACATCACTGCCGTCTTTACACTAACGTGATGTTCTTAATGAACTCAGGAACACACAGAACTCGACATCCCTGAGCATCATGTGAAGCTGACCTTGTCAGATCGGGTCAAAACTCGACAGCTTGATCACAGCTGCAGACGAGTTACCACTTCAGCTCATGTGGGTCTGTTACATATATGTAGATACACCCAGCAGCTGGTTAGCTTAGCTTAGCATAGCACAGAGGTTGGAAACAGAGGGAAACAGCTATCCTGGGTCTGCCAGGTTTAACAAATCACCTATCACATACTGTTCAGATGGAAAGACCCCTGTGTAATCTGGCAGAAAAAATGGAAGCAGAGAATGTAACTCCATGATATTTATGTTTCTCCTCTTTGGTAGTCGTCAAAAATGGTCTCGTTGGTGGTTTGATGGGCGAGTGAGCTCGTGGATAAAACTGTTCTGTTTGTATTTTGTATGCTGTGGAAATACTCAATAAATAGACTTTGATCCAAAAAAAAAAAAAAAAAACACAGAACAGCATCTTTAAAGCTCTAACACACTGTATCTTATTATTATCTTATTTCATTTGTATGAATAACGGAGGGGTACTTGCCAGACTATAGTTTTATATGTAGCCAACACAAATAAGAAGAAACCAACTAAGGGTAATAAGTCTCTTTGACATGACTGTGACTATTCCCTTAAGAACAGAGCTGGAGCCGGAGGCAATTAGCTTAGCTTAGCATGCAGAATGGAAGCATAGGGAAAGAGCTAGTCTGGCTCTGTGTTTTTTATGTTTCTGTTTGTGTACGAATGAAACAAACGAGATACATGTTAATTAGTGAGTTTTAGAGATGTTGGTTTCCAGCTTTTATGCTAAGCTAAACTAATTTCCTCCTGACTTAAGCCTTGTAAAAGCTAATACCTGTCTGAGTTATAACAATTCATAAAACATTTCTTAAATTGAGACGTGCAGAGATTATATTAAGATAATCTCTTAAAAGATATTAATTTTGTTTTTCTTAATGATCAGTAGTTTGTTGTGGTGGTAAAATTGCAGCTATTGACTTTCATGTTTTGAAATTTCAATAATGAAATCAACATCAGGCCTAACTGAGGTCCTAACTTTGTGCCAAAACTGTTTTCCCTGTCAGTATCACCAGTATCCCTTTATTTATACCAAATATTTCTGAGCATAAGAAAAAAAAACTGTTGAACCCTTGGTCCCTTACCTTCCATGAGTATCCTGAAGACATCTCTGAGGATGGTGACAGTGGTGCAGAGGACAAAGACAGAAAACAGGAATGTACAGATGGGGTCGGCAACTTTGTACTCAGGCTGAAAGAGGGAAAAGAGGTTATGGAGGCTTTAAAGAGACATCAGATGGTGTTTTCCACAGTCATGAGGCATTCAAACGCTCGGGGCAGAAAAAAAAAGGGGAACATCTTGCATGATGACAGGAATATTTAACCCTGTCATCCACAATGTACCAGACTCAGGATAAATGAAAGCATTCATGATTTCTTCAGCTAATTTTCTACACTTTAAATATGCCTTTAAATGACACTTTGTGGTTGGCACGATGTTTTAAGTCACTGTTTTGTTATTCACTATTATAAGATTTATTATGCAGAGAATATTCTGCTCAAATACAAAGAAACTGACAATTGAACAAACTCAATTGAAAACAGACTATAATGATAAGAATGAAGAATTTATGCTTCATACAGGATTACTGCATCATATTTGAGCTTTTTCTTTTTTTTATTTTAAAGGGCCAAACTGACATCTCACCCTAACATGAATGTGATCTATATCTGACCCGAAAGTAGATGATGATCGCCGCCACCATGACGCCGACACTCTGCAGCAGGTCTCCCACCACGTGAATGAAGGCGGCACGGACGCTCGTGTTGCCGTGGCCGCCGAGAAGCGTGTGGGCGTGGCCGTGGCCGTGTGCGACGGGGCTCTGACCGTCCTCGTCGATGTGGTGATAACCGCTGCCGTGAGCGTGGAAGGTGGTGGAGTGATGGAGGATGTAAGCCATACTACAGAGACACAGAGGGACTTTACTCTACAGCTGCAATGATAAGTGGATTAATCAGTCAACAGAAAATTCATTGTCCACCATTTCTGAGCACGTGGATCAAAGGTTCAAATACTTGGCTGTCAAAAACGAGGAAAAACCCTCTGGAACAGTCACACGCAACAGTGCAATATCAGGCTGTAAACAACACCTGATATCTTATCACTATGTCACTAAGTCTTAAAGCACTCATGCCCCGCCCTCAATTCTAACTTTCAGCTCCTGGCTCTGGGGAGACAGAGCAGTCCCCTGTGCAAAGACAAATATCTGTTTAAAAAAAAAGAAAAAATCATGCCATACATCAGTTAAACTGGTAATTAATGACCATGCCAGTATTGTTCTGTATCCCTTTATACCTGTCTCTTTACTCCTTAAATTGGTCTTACATTATTTTAGAATATTTGACATGATTTCTAGAGATGTATTTCTTGCTTTGTTATGAAGTTGCATGTCATTTAGTGGATTTGAATGGTTTTTACTTATTGTTCATGTGATTTCAGCTTCGGTTCAAACAAAGATGATTTCATATGTTTCGAGCACAAATGCCAAACATTTACTGTTTCCAGCTTCTCAGATGTGAAGATTTAATACTTTTCTATGTTTTATATGATCGTGTTGAACATCTTTAGGGTTTTTGACTAATATTCAAATAAAAAAAGTTTTAAATTAGTCTCTTGCTCGAGGTCACAAAAGAATAGCCTCATTGTCCGGGGCATTATAGACATACACATTACCTCAAGAAAACGACCTTTTCATGAAATTGAAATATTTATGCTGTTATCTTATAAAAACAACCTGTTGTTTTTCCCCAAGATAGAAATATAATGAACCTGGTATCATGGGGAAAACATCAAATACATTTTTTTTTAGGAATTGTGTCCATTAATCAATTATAATGATGTATACCTGTTGATGCTAATGTGAGCATAGTTTTCAAGTACAAGTTTTATAGGAACATGCTTTTAAAGCAAGACTACCAGAAGTTCTAATGGACTCTCTTGAACCCATTAATGCTCATTACGCTCAGAGGCACTCACATAATATTTACGATGACAGCACACCCGGAGGTGACTAACATTACATGGCCATCAATCTCATAGTCGTTGCGTACGATCCTTTCGGTGGCTAAATAGACCAGAGCCCCCGTCACGATCCAGATGGACATGACGGAGACAAACGCCCCGAGGATCTCTGTGGAGAGAGGGGAGGAAGAGAGGCAGGAATTCAATACGGAAGAAGACAGCACACCTATGTGTGTGTGTGTGTGTGTGTGTGTGTGTGTCACACACACAAACACATAAGACATTACGTACAAAGACTCAGTATCACAGTAACACCTTGAAGGAACTTCTTCAAATTTGTCACGAATGTCCACTTGAAATCAAGGATGAACTGATTAGATTTTGGGGGGGTCAAAGGTCAAGGTCACGGCAACCTTGTGAACACAATATCTCCAGAACTCTTCAAGGGAACCCCTTTCAAAATCAGCACAAACATTCATTTGGACTCAAGGATGAGTTGATTAGATTTTGGGGGTCAAAGGTCAAGGTTAGTGTGACGTCACAAAACACTTTTTAGCCATTACTTAATATTTCACACAGCAATCATGACAACATTTAACCTGAAACTAGTCTGAGTGGCGGAGTCAGACAACCACGAGGAGGTGATTCTAGGTTTTACAGTATGAAGGACTCATCACATAAACTTTAGAGATATAAGAAGTTCACAGATCTTTCCATAAGTGGGGATTTTCCTCGAAAGGTTTAAAGAAGGGTTGAGTGATGCAGATGAGATTGTTTTCCTGCACAACGACCAGCTTTGTCTACAGATGAGACAGTGAACAGTGACGCTGATCTCCACAAAAAATAATAAAACATCCACATCTGTTTAAACTTTTTGTCCGTATTGTCGGTCCGGTACGCTGCGGTTCATCATTAAATCGATGAAGTTAGAGTTAAGGGGGAAATTATCTCAAGTTCACCATCGCAGCTTATACATTGTAAACTCAATGAAACTGACCCCTGGCTTATAACTCACAAATTCACACTCGGCAGGTTGCAGACTCTCTGCAAACAGGAGCTGTTCGGTCATTATCAGACTGGTTCTACACCTGCTAACATGCATCACCTTAAGTAAAGGAAAGTAACGGCAGCAGCATTGTAGAGTTGAAGATGGAGACATGTTGATCCCCCCCCCCCCCGCCCCCCCCCCCGTTTCAGCATAAATGAAAGTCATTGCTTAACGCCAAGTTTGAAATGTGCTTGCACCGTGCTGACAGAAGGTAAAAAACACTTATAAAAGTTATTGCCTGCAGGTGGCAGGCACAGGTTAAACTCCACATGTTTAAGTTTTAAATACAGGACTGTTCTGTGACCGTTGCGTTTTTTTTTTCTGTGATTCTTAAATATTCATACATCAGTAAATAAATCATCATTCATCCATCCTTTAAGACATCCCTTCGTGCGCTCAGAGGCGTCTGATCTCTGGTTCTGACCTGATCTGTGCCAACCAAAGTTCATGGTTTTGGTGGGCGGTCTGGAGGAGATCCACAGGGAGAACAGGCTCACCATCATACTGCCAAAATCTGTGAGGAGGTGGGCGGCATCAGTCATGATGGCCAGGCTGTGGGCCAGGTAGCCTCCTGTAGAAAACCCCAAAAGACATCCGTGTTCATTTGTGTGTGGTAAAACCTCTGAAAGCTAAAAAAAAAAAGGTGTAAATCCAGACACAACAGACGCCTTTCACTCATCTCTTCATTGTATGTGTGGTTGTTTTGACCCTTTTTTTATTTAAAAGAAATGGCCTTTCTATTCATTTCAGTTCTGTGAGAAAGAGGTTTGAGCTTCTAATCTTTTACCTATCACCTCGCCGATCATGAAGACGAGGCAGATGGCCGAGGCAATGTAGAGTTTCTTCTTGGCCAGCATCTTGTCCACGCTCTCGTCACACGCCGAGGCTTTGGCACCGTGGCAGTGGGCACCGACGGGTCGTTTCAGCTCGATGGCGCCGGCCACACCTCCATTCTGAAAAGGGAAGTCGGGGAACTGCTCTTTGGAGTCTGGAAAGGAGCTGCAGGGGCACAAAAGGTATGTGTTCATGAAGACGCAGGAAGTCCGTCACTTGCATTGGTGCAGTTTTATGTGGAGGATTTGAGCATTTGTGTCTTTGGCAACTCCTGGAGGCAGTCGAGTGTTTTTTTTTCTTTTTTAAATATGCAACATATTCAAAAACAATAATAATATGAAATATAAATCATTAAAATGCTGCACCGACACTTTTTCAGACATCAGTATTGAACAAAATGCATATAGATGAAATCCAAAGCAAACAGAATAAAACGAGGTGGTGATTCTTCTCTGTGATAATTGCAGGTCTATTTTCAGATAGTTCAGGCTTCAGTTGTTGTTGTTGTTGTTGTTGTTGTTGTTGTTGTACATATTGACATTACAGGTGTGTTTTCATTCTGTAACAACAGCAGACCTACAGTTGTAATTTAAGTTGCAGCAGAGCACATTATTGTTTGGAAGCACCACCATGGTGAACAAAGTAGAAATCTGACAGTGGGTTACAATCGATGTTAACTTAAGTAGAACAATGTTAAGACAGGCCATCCAGTAAAGAACCAGCTGGAATCCATTAATACTGACAGTGGGGAGGATGTGTGATCGGTTATGTTATGTATGTTTTATGAATGTTGATTTTGTTTGTTATCCAGATGACTGGTTTCAGAAAGCATTGATCTAGATTTGGGGATTTGAAGATCAAAAAACATTGAGACGTTGAAACATTGAGACATTGAGATTCATACCCGGCTAAATTTGTTTTTCAGTGGCATTTAATCACTATGTTTTAACGTCAAGACCGAAAGTAATTGAAATGCTGCTGAAACAACAGTTGGACGGCCCTGTGGCTGAAGGGGGAAGATGTTGGCGATGAACCACATCGACCCCAGTTCAGATCTGACTGAGGACCTTTGTTGCATCTTTCTGCTCTGTACTGTCTGATAAAAGCACCAAATGCCCTTGAAAATAATTAAAAAGCACAGCTGTATTTAAAACAGGTGAAAGTAACGTAGAAGTCTAAAAACACAAGTTGAATTTCCATCCAAATGTAGTACAAATCTTTCCAGAAAATTTGCTTTTCTATCTACAACTGTTATGAGAATATCAGGAGTAAAGTGTATAGAAATAGACATGGTGGCACTAATCCTGCAGTCAGGTGCCATTAAACCACTGGTGATGTTACTAAGAGAGCTCCAGTCAAACATCAAACAATTGAAAACAATGTGTGACGGAAATATTACAGTCTCCTACCTCTCTAATGTTTATTGCCACACTTCATGTACGTCACAATTTATTCACTAGAAACTTTTCCATCTCAGGCAAGAATTAAAGCTTTTTTGAGATATTTAAACTAGAATATTTAAACGCAAATTTTTGAGCAAATTGAAAATAGACATGAGAGGAGGTGAATAAAAATGCACTTATTGAAGTTTAAAACTGTGGTGGTAACACTCACAAGGACACTGTAGCACACGAATTTTCATTGGTGGCTTTTGTTACCTTTAGACGGAGCCAGGTTCCCTGTTTCCCCCTGTTACCAGTCTTGCTGTTATGCTAAGCTAACCAGCTGCTGGCTCTAGCTCCAGATTACTTAACTTACACTTACTTAACTGTCAGTGAGTGACACATGTAGATATACTTCATACAACGCACATAGAGCGGGATTAGAATCATGGAAATAAAACAAAATGCTGACTTCTCCATTTTCATCACACACACACACACATCAACACACACAACCAGGTTTCCATGTGAGAGGGAGCTGCAATGATGTGGCTAATGAGGTGGAAAAAAACTAATTTGAGCTCACTTGAGATAACCACACCCAGACACACACACACACACACACACGCACACACAAGCACTTTATGTCACACACTTCATATAGGAGATTGCCAGTGTACCATGATTAGCCTTTATCATACACACACGTCTTAGGGGATGTCCACGCTGAAAAGAGTCAGCCGAGCGGGAAACAGATTCTGTTCAATTATGCCACTGGGACATAAGAGCAAACACAAACACACACACACACACACACACACCTAGCCTACATACATAAAACATGGATACACACTGGAGTGCTCTGAAGCCTTGAGCATGTTGTGATTATGCAGAAAAAACAGGACAATATGGTCGCCTTTAAAAGATTTGTACAAATACAGACAAACAACGATGAACAAACACAGCATGGCTAAAGTCTGCAAAAGCTTTGCAGTCGTACAACAAATCTATCTACCCAGGGTTTCTACAGGGTTCATGACATTTTTAAAACCAAATAGAAATCCATTCAGTATCTGTCCCACAGTCATACCAGTACAGATATATACTGCCGTTTACTGACAGTTTACCATCACCTCATAAGTAACACTAATACTCCTCACCAAGTACATTTATTTATTTATGAAATCACATTTTTGTCACCACATCCAGCAGTATATAATTCCTAATAATATTAGAGTTAGTTCATTTATCATTAAACACAGCCTGGATAAGAAACAGAAAACAGATGGGTGAATGGATTAATCAATTGAAAAATATCAAATTTATCTACATATGAATTTTTCATGAGGTCAGAGGTCTGGAAGAACAGTCCTGGGGATTTTCCAGTTTCAGTTTTTTCTAAAGTTACATACAAAATTTTATTTGAGTAACCTTCGAAGGCCTTTTTTTTAAGAAACAGAAATCAGGACCTGCCAAATATCCTGTTACCACATACTGCCTGTTAGTTTAAGCACAACACTCCTAACTGCCATCTGTTTCACTTACTTCTCTAACTGACTGTACTCATCACTATGGGAGTATGGGCTATCTAGTCCTTAAGTCAAGCGTGTTTCTTGTTGGTGTTGGCCTCCGCCAGGGTCGTCCCTTGTCACCGATCCCATCAGTGATTTTCATGGACAGGATGTTGGGTTCAGAGCTAATTTCTGCCACAAACGAAGGACTTTAAGTATCTTGTAGCGTTGTGGTGAAGGTGGAACTGAGCCGGAAGACGAAACTCTGGATTTACCCGTCGATGTGCGTTCCAACCCTCATTTGTGATCATGAGCTTTGTGCAGCGACCAAAAGAACAAGATTGCGAATACAAGCAGCCAAAATGAATTTCCTGTTATTTCATTTGGAAATAAAAGAGCTTTACAGTTACTGTTATTTCCTTATGGCTCATATTTAATATCAGCGTCCTTACAAAGTAATAGGTGGTTTGAACATTTCTGCAGCGTTCATCCTCCTGCACCACCTTAAAAGTGACATTGACTCAGGTTGTTATTAACTGTCGCATTTAGTGCTTGGTTAGCGAAATGACAGCGCTGACCACAAGCTGCGCTCTCCTACATATTATGAATATTAGATTTCATTTTGAGATAGCGTTCATCTGTTAGTCAATATCCCACAGGGCAGGTTCCATTGTTTGTTGACACTCGGTGTCAGCAGTGCAGAGACCTGAGGGAGTGTTCAGTGATCTGTGAAATGATACGACATGAAGACACACTCAGAGGAGCTGCCCAGTGGAAAAAAAAAAAACCCATCCAGCCTTTAATCACAGCCGGAATCTGCTTCATCAAAGCGCCATAAACTATTATTTGTAGCTGACATAACAGTGCCTGCAGTGAGAAAAGACTGCTGCAGAGCAGAAATGAACAATGCTTTGTCTGTGGAGGGATAAGTGTTCGTCGATGGTGATCTTATTGATGCCATTGTTATTTAGCACTTGTGAGTTTTTGTAGACTGATACAGAGACTGGATTGCCATTTTGTTGCATATCATTGAGTGGCTAAAAGACTGGAAACAGCCTGGTAACAAACCGTTTCTTTGCCTGCAGCAGTAACTTCCAGGAGGTCAGAAATAGTCCAGGACATAACCCCCATAAAACCTTACTGTGTCATTGGGCAGGGTCAGTTCCTGTATGTGATTGGCTCATGCTTTTGTATTTATCTAATATTGATCACTTTGGGTCTCATGCTTGCTGCCATTTTTGTGGGAATTTCTTCTGTTGCTATTTTTCTGGCTCTGACATGAGAAGACGACATCCCTCTTCATAATCCCTTCAAAGCTCTGACTGGTTCGGTTGTTTTTCTGATTTGGCAAATGTCAAATGTCTTGACATTTACTGGATGGGTTTGGTACACATATTCATTGTGCGCAGAGGATGAATCCTACTGATTTTGATAATCCCCTTGACTTTTCCTGTGGCACCACCATGTAAAATATTACTGCAGCTGTTCGATGGGTTGCCATCACATTTGGTTTACACATTCATGTCCCCCAGAGGATAAACAGCTGTAGTTTCTCTGTTAAATTTATAATGCAGCCAACATTCTCCAATAAACTTTTTTAATGATAATTTATCGGTCTTCCATAATTCCAGTCCAGATTTAATATTCTGAGACGATATTTTCCAAGGTTGTTTTGATAATCATTTTAACGATCCATCTCCTTGGAATACATGAGGAACATCAAGTTACACTTGCCTCTAATCTGAGTATGTTACTGTACAAGTTATGAGCCACCAGAGATCAGGCTGGTGACCAGAGTCCATCTAGATCCAGAGTGGCTCAGAGCTGTTTCCTGGAAGCTGCTGCAGCAGCGACGGAATCTTCCACCAAACTCCCATTAACCCACAACCAATTATGTTGCCTTCACTTGCTGCCAGAACTGTCACAATTACCAGTGAGCAAACAATCCAGTAAACAGGCTTTGGTAAATACAGCTGGGTAATATCATGAAGACACAGTAATGAATAAGTAAGTGATGATATGAAAGGGAATGTGTTGATGTTCTGTATATTATACCAACTTTTGTCATCATTACTTGAGATTTCTATTTTTCTAACTGATCTAACTGATACAAAATGGTGCCATGTCTATTATTTCTTCTTTAAATGGAGGGTTAAGGTGGTTGCTTGCAGAATTGGTTGGTTGGTTTTTAGTTGGTGAAAAGAAAAAAAAGATCCACATCCTGAGGTTTATATTTGGCCAGTTTTTTCGGGTGTGGTCAAGTGAGGTCACTTCACAGACTGTTCTGGATGTCGTGCTTTGGTGAAGTTTGTTGTTGGAACTCTTGTCCATCGCTCACAGGCGTTTTTATTTGTTTAAAGTGATCAAACTAGAGCTGAAACAATTAGTCCATTAAATCAGTTAAATAATGAAGTCATTGTTTGAGTTGTGACAAAAATGTCAAACATTGTCTGGTACCAGCTTCATTTTTTTTCTTTTTTTTGAAAGCAGAAAGGTCACATATTAGAATCTAAAATCCCAAATCCAAGAATATTCAGTTTACCATCATGTTTAAAAAAGAAACAAAACAATGTGTCAGAAGAAGCTGACATTACAAAATGTTGTCATTTTTTTTTAAATAACTGAAACAATTCAGTGATCATCAAAACAGGTGCAGATTAATTTTCTGTTTATTGACTGTGGTTAATCCACAAGTAGTTTTAGCTCCACCTGTTACTGAAGTACATATAGCCAGAGAGACTTTTCACGAGCCTTCACAAAGGCAGACTCATTTGAAAGGGTTAAGTTAAAATGTCTTACCTGAATGTTTTATATATATTTACATTATAAAAAGCATCATACTGTATATTTTTATATTATAATATGTATTATAGGCCTACTGCATATATGTAAGTGTAAATGAGTGATGCCACTTCCTTATAAAGCACTATGCTAAAAATGCTAAAGGTGACACAGTAAACACACACACACACACACACACACACACACACACACACACACACACACACACACACACACACAAACGCACACACGGTGCAAATGGTGCATGAAATCCCAAATGTAGTGCCATATGCACATCGCTCTCTCTCACACACACACACACACATACGCACGTGGGAATGAACACACGGTAGCACGCGGGCACAACCTGGCTTTGAACCCATAGTAATGATTTCTTTTATCTCTGGAAGATCATTTTTTTCACAGTGAAGGTTTTTTCAGAGGCCTGAATATCCGCAGCAACAGTCTGATAATATTTGTAAATGGCAATTTAAAAATGCGTCATATTCTACATATATATATATATATATATATATATTTTTTTTAGGTTTTTTCTTCCTCTCTTGCTCATAAAGCGTAAAACCCCCCTGTCACCTCACGTGTTGCCTTAAAAACAAAAGGAAAAAAAAAAGGTGAGGAACAGCTGCTGTGGACGCGTGGAAGAGTTTATCAGAGGGATCAGTCCAGCTCCAGCTCCAGCTCCTACAGCCTGTCATTACAACAGTTACTGATGAGGTGGAGGTTTAGGTTTTTTCTTCCTCTCTTGCTCATAAAGCGTAAAACCCCCCTGTCACCTCACGTGTTGCCTTAAAAACAAAAGGAAAAAAAAAAGGTGAGGAACAGCTGCTGTGGACGCGTGGAAGAGTTTATCAGAGGGATCAGTCCAGCTCCAGCTCCAGCTCCTACAGCCTGTCATTACAACAGTTACTGATGAGGTGGAGGGGCAGCAGACGCATCGTGAGGCCTGCTGACGATCCACATCACGAGGGATCATTTCCTCCCTACATGCGGAATATTGATTATGACACATTAGTTTTTTTTTTTTTTCTTTAAATGTCTACATTAAAATCCACCTGATTGCAGGAGCTGGATGTTGTAAACCAGCAGGTGTGTTCCTACTGAAGGATCAAATGTAAAATGTTCCAGTTGTAAAAATTATATTTTTTTTGTTTGATATTTAAGCCAAGATCTTGTTTTAATTAGGCTATTTGATTTATATGTGATATAAACAATAATTAGATTGCACTTGATTCTAATTTTCTTTTCGCATAATTTTTTCCCTACAACTCCAAATTTAAAACATTTAAAAAATGTAAAATGAATCAGACTTTCTGCCATTTTCCCTGCGCTAAACTGTTAATTATTGTTTGTTTTTTATGATTGTATAGGACAAAGACCTTATTTTTGAAATGTCTGTTTCATTCTGAATTTCTTTTCCTAATATTTTCTATTTAAAAAAAAAATCCACTCAGGATTTATTTGTGGTAGCCTATCTACCCGTAACACCTCAGCAAGTATTTACTGTGTAATTACTCTCGGTGATTTCCGTTTCTTTCCGTCCCATGCAGACTGACCGTGCGGGGAGCTGCTGCTGCTCCTTCATGCCTCCCTAATGACAGATGATGAGTTTTTAGCGTTGCTCAGTGAACTGGCCCCGGGGCCATTTGTCACAGGCTGTCCAGAAACAAGCCAAGCATGGAAATGAATTTGTTCATTCACATAAAACAGCCCCGGCAAGAGCGGCGCAGCCTGCTTAACATGCACCACAGTAACAGCCGCTCCCACCGCGGCTTCGTTAGTGTTACACACAAACCTGAACACAACATACGAACCTGCAAACAGAAAATCCACTTTCACACTCCTCACTGCTCGCTCCCCCCGCCCCCCCCCCCCCTTCAACGATACTTACTGGTCACTTTCTTCAAACTTGACATGATTTTTTTTTTAAAAAGTTTTTTTTTTCACATTTTTGATAAACATGTTTCATGAGATGCACGTGCAAAATTTAACATTAGGTTTGTTTGGGTAAAATAGCATCATATTCCCACATGCAGTATAATTCTCCATGTAGCTGCAGTTAAATGAGACGTGACGTTTCTCCCACCTTTGTAGTTTTAGTGAATACATCTTGGCATTCTTCTCGTGTATCAGGTGCGATTTCTCCGAATTTGCGGCGTTATTATCCATTTATCCAGCCCTGCAGTCAGTCAGCCAGTCAGTCAGCCAGTCAGTCAGCCAGTCAGTCAGTCTGTGTCAGTCCTGAGGGAGAGATAGTGTTTGTCTATATATATATATATTTCTTATATTTTTTTTTATATTTTGGAGGATGCTGCAGGAGTTGCCGGTGTGGATCGACAGGTCCGGTTTTTTCCTGATCTTCACTCGACGCGGGGAAAAGTCCTCATGTCCGTGAGCAGCGACACTTCAGAACAAACGAATACATTCCTTCATTGCGGCTCTGAGAGGCAGGAGGAGGAAACCACAGGCGCTGCTTTTCGGAGGGAGGTTTTTGGGTTTTTTTTTAATTTGGTAGGAGTTGTAGCCTCGATCATGGAGCTGCAGCAGCAGTGATGAGGCGCAGCGCACTGTAATGTACACTCCACACTGCAGCTGCTGTTAGTGGACACGACTAACCCCTATTCACACTCACAGGACTGAGTCTGACTGATCACCCGGTGCAGACAGGACACCTCCGGTTGGTGAATCCTAATGGGGCAAGCAGCAGTATGAACGAAAATCAATGTTCGGAAGGTTTGAAATACTTCTGCTTATATATATTACAACAAATAACGTATTTAAACCCTTTTGTGAAACATAAAAGTATATATTAGGCTACATTTTATCATTTCACTGCACAATTTGACGTTAAATGCGCAGCTATTTGTCTAAAATCTCTCATTTTGTTTTTTTACTTCGACCTTACATGTCACTTTACATTAATTTACAACAGCTTGATTTAATTTAATATGAGAAGCTCCTCAGATTTATGCCAAGCTGAAATGAAAGGCCATAAACGGTAAATGTTATTACAGATTTATACAGATAAAGAACAAAGATTTATGGCATTATAAGAAATAAATTAACACCTGTCTCTGTCTTGAAAGATAACCTTCAGATATTTTCTTAAACTGAATTTCAGTCTATTTTCTTATCAGTCCAATAAAATTATATCTACAGCTTGTCATGTTTAAGAGCAGGCCTTAACAGATGTATTTGAAACATACATTTAAAACAATAAATGTCGTTTCTCAGCAGTTTCAAAAATATAAAGCAAGATTTTATGCAAAAATATATCCACATTTAAAGTACTCTATTATATCTAAGAAGATATTGTACATACATCTATGTCATGTTAACAGATAAACATACTGGTGTGGGTCTAGTAAGAATGGCTCAAAAATGAAGCTTTATTTAGTTTTATGGATATATAAATGCTTTTAGTCGCAGTATAAAATTATTTCTTATTACACTTCTGTGGCTATAATTAGCTGGACGTAATCAAGTGAACCATTTAATGATCATCTAAAATCCACATTTTGTTTGACTGAGTTTATAAAATTATGTATTATAAGTTATAAAAAATACCATATTTTACGTGTTTTGTGAGAATTTCCTCTGAATGTTTTATCAGATACGCACTGGTAATCATTCATGATTACCGCGCCAAAGCGGCGTTCAAGTCCAGTGGGAAGTTTTCCATCTTGATCAATTTTCTTTGGTTTAATACACTGTTCTTTTTGAAGCTAAGTTTCACATTTGACATACTTTCATTCACAAGCATAAAAAACATTTAGCACAAAGTTATTTGCCATATGCTGACTTTTGTAATTTTCAAAACATGTTAAAACTGACACAAACTGTATATTTTAGTTGAATTTATTAGCTGAAAGAAACTGCCATCTCTAATGACGTTTTATTTATTTAAACAATATAACCCGATTACTTAATGGATCCTAATTATCATGTAATTGAGGTAAAAAGTAGGCCTAGGGAGTAGCACTATCATGTAGCAGTACACATTTTTGCACATGATATTGAATACACTTGCATCGTCTGGAGCCTCGTGTCGTCTGGGGTCCCTGTTGGTAATCCATCCTTGATCTCCTTGAAAAAACAGCACTTATCCTTATCAGTGACATTACAAAGTTGATTGTTACATGCACTTATAGTAAAATTGTGTGAATGAAACTCATGTCATTATATCGCCTCTATTTAGGCCCTTTTTTGTCATCTTGTTCAATTTAAGATAGTGATAGAGTGGACCCAAATGATCCACAAATAGATAGCACTACTATGGAGTACTATTGCACATTATCAGACAGGAAACAGCTCAGTTTTGTGTCGACCAAAGTGTAACCGAGGCACAAAGGCAGAGGACTGAGCTGAAGTTGTTTAAATTTCATACTATTCATATATTGTTTTTTTTTTTTTAATTTAATACAACGTATAGCAAAATTTCAACACGATTCCCAAATTAATTGTGAATTATTAACCAGTGCATGTTTGAGCACTTTTTTCCGATTACCTAAAATACAACATCATCTTACGTGTTCATACGTCATGACGCTCCCGGTGTTTGGTTTCCGCGCCACGCCGAGTCAACATGGAAACAACAAGCAGCGACAGTAAGGTAGACGAACGGCTGATAGATGAGGAGATGGAAGAGGACCGGTCAATGTTAAGATCCGACAGGTACAAAAATGTAATGTATAAATGTCACGGGCGCGAATCGCAGCACGGCAGGGAAAACGGTTTACGGTGGCTCGCTAACGCCGCTAGCTGGCTAGCTGCCACATGCATTGTGTGAGCATGGCTGCGGTGAACAAAAGACTTAACAGAAGAGGAAAATACAAACAGGACAAAAACAACACCTGGGTTCATGGCAAAATTATAAAATACATGTCTGAGGTTTTGTTTGCTAATTGATATTCAGCTGTGTTATGCTAAGAGGCAGAGGTATCTGCCTCTTAAGCTAACTGTCAATACTATTATTATATAATATTATTAGGACCTTTCTCCAGACCTTATGGAAAATTAAACAATTTATGCGTTTTCTTTTGTTGGTGAACGTTTATACTTGACAAAACATGATTTCTTAGCGTTTCAACTCGGCCTGGACAATTCTGCATGACTACAGACCAACTATAAATGTCTAGCTTCAGTGGGATGTGTTAAAACATAGCTCTGATGAAGAAAGACAGTAATAACAAACGCTCTGGCTACTCTATCTACTTTTGATAGAAGACTGAATGCAATGCTTCCCTGCACATCACAGCGCCAGCTAATGTTGGTTTGTGGCTAACGCTGGCTTATAACACGTAGCACTGGGGGTGTGCAGGGGGGTCAGGTGTCTAACCTACCTAGGTGTGTGCATCAGGATATTCTGGGTGTGCCAACATTTGTCCATTCAGATGATGTATTACATCTCCCATGGGGACCGTGCTAAACTGGAGAATAAAAGGGAGTGCAAGGCAGCTAGCTGATATGTGACATTTTCTCACGTTTATGATGAGTTGGGTTAACATTTGCTCAACTAAAGGATACATATACATGTAATTCATGCACAGAAATAGCTGTTCAGTTGCTGCTTTTTGTAGCCAGCAGATTCTGTCGCAATTGTGGGTGATCTTTACATGGTTCCCTAAAGGCTCACTTACTTACTTTTCTTTTTCACCAGGAATAATCATACCTTGCATAGATCTTGAGTCCTCTTTTAAACAAACTGGGAGTTGGAGCAGACCTCAGGTTTTCTGGGAGGTTGTCTCGGATATGTCGAGCATAAAAAGTGAACTGACCGCTTCTCTGTTTAAGTTTGACTCAGGGGACAGTGAGCAGACCTGTCCCAGACCACCTGAGAGGTCAGGATGGTTTATATTGTAATGGAAGGTCAGAAATGTATTTTGGCCCTAAACCATTTAGTTCTTTATACAGGACAGTGTAGGACAGTTACCTGAATCTGTACAGAGTCTGAACTGTTAGTGGGTCATAACAAGACGTCACTTTGGGCTCTATGAGACTGTAAATATCTATTTTTCCAATGGTTTGCAGCAAAATTATAAATTGAGAAAATAGTCTGCAGGTGAATTGAAGATGAAAATAATTGTTTATTGCACCCCCGGCCCGGCCTGAGCTGCTGAACCCAATCCACCAAGCAGCATTTTAGAATTTGAATAATTTCTCTTCATGATTATCAATATGCAGAATTTGGACAATGGAGAGCAGCAGGAATGCATTTCAACCTGATTAAATGATTACTATCATGGATAATGACAAACGTCTTCACCGTTAGACCTTGATAATTTGTATGTTTCAGATGTTCATATTTAGGGCTAATTGAGGCAGCATCAAACTGCCAGATTTAAAACTGAATTTCATTTTTATTCATTTTTTGGAGGACAACCAGGGCACACTAAAGGTCATTTCAGAAAATGTGCCAAGTGATGACAGCCTTACTCATGTGAATGGAGGCCCCACGCTGTGCCATTGCTGTGTCCAGGGCAGCGGTGTGATTTCCTGGGGAGGATTGGCAAGTTCTCCCTTCCTCCCCCTCACCCACACCGACAGCAGACACTTCACTGTGGAGAGAGAGAGAGAGACGCTGGAGTAGACAGACTCCCTCTCATCTCTCTGCAGGACAGAAGAGCATCTGCAAGTCCTCAAAAGTTAAAAAAAAAAAAGGATTTAAAGGCTCAAATTTGGGCCAGTTTTAAAAAATATTAGCGCCATTTCCTTCCCATGTATATCTTCAGAACTCTGATTAGCTGCTTGGAAAGAAAAAGGCTGATTTTGACAGCATCAGTTCTGTTACACCTGCCTCACATTTAGCTTTGAGGAACCTTCAGATACCTTCAAATGAATGAATTGCCTGTATTGGAGCAGCAGCAGGGGGTCAACTATGAGCTAACAAGGCATTTCTGATGGCAACAAACACATACACACACAAAATTAGAATTAAAGTGAACATGCAGACGTCACAGAGACTAAATCAGATCAAGTGCTGCCTCTTCACAGGTAAACTTTGACCAGTCACAGGTGTTTGGTAAAAGTCCAGTCAACAGACCAGTGAGGTGAACCTGTAGAAGGAAGTCAGTCAGCTGCTTCTGACTTTCACATCTGTTGTGTTTATCCTCAGTGGAAGTGGAGATGATTCCTTGGATGGCCTCTCGAACCGTGTCAACCGCTGCCCTTTGACCCCGTCTTTATCTCCACGGAAACGGACCACGAGCCAGTCGAAGACGGAACCTCCGCTGCTGAGGACCAACAAGCGGACCATCTACATCGCTGGCAGACCGCCGTGGTACAACGTCACCGGGACCACCTTCAAAGAGGCCTTTGTCATAGGTGAGGGAACAAGGACACTTCAGTCGTCCTGTGTGTTCACAACTACTTTGATTAAGATTACAAGAGGATTCCTGGCACGTCGAGTACATCTGTAATCTGACAGATCAAATATGAATACCACAGCTCAGAATTAAAATATAGATCTTCTCTAATTTCTTATACCTCCACGCCGGCGACAGTCAGGGGGGGGGGCATATGGGGCATCTTGTATGTACGTTTGTCTCAGTCTTGGGAACATGATATCTCCACAACACCATGATGGAGTTTCTTCAAGTTAGGTACAAACATTCACCTGGACTCAAGGATGAACCGATTAGATTTTGGTGGTCAAAGTTCAAGGTCAGTGTGACCTCAGAAAACACTTTTTAGCCATAACTTCACACAGCAATTATGACAAAATTTCACACAAATGGTTCATATTTTCTCTGACTGTGGATAAACAGGGATGTAACCTGAAACTAGTCTGAGTGGAGGAGGCAGACGACCACCAGGAGGTGATTCTAGTTTTTCATGGTGGCAAAAAGAATGCTGCAGTTTCTCAATAACAACAACAATAATAACAATAACTTTATTCTTATCTCACGTTTCAAAATCTTAAAATTACAAAGTAGTTTAACTATAAAACATCTCTGGAACAATAAAAGACTATAAAATGAAATCAGGTGAGATGAGACAATCAGATAAAAACCAACAGACACAGACAAATCAGAAAATACAGGCGAGCAGGAACGAGATAAAACCAGCATATGCTGAGAAGATGAAAATGTGTTTTAAGAAGAAAGGGACTGAATTTCTCAGACAGGTTGTAATAAAGCCTCGATGCCGCCCTGACGGCAAGAGCTGGATCACCTCTTATCTTTAAACTGGCAACAGGGACAATCAAGGGGCCCCGGCCCCATAAAAATTCTCAAATAGTTTCTTTTTTTTATGGCCAGCAGTCCATAACTGAGAAATATTCCTCTTTAATGGTATGAAACTGAGAAAATCCTCCTATTTTAGACCCTGAACTGTAAATTCATGGTGTTTTTTTTTTTGTGATAAACGACTTAATCAATGATTTGAAGTTTTCTCAATATAAGAAAGATTCTTGCTGTGAAATATTTTTAAACTCTGGCTCATGATGCTCTGGCTTGAGTCTTTACTGCATGGCCACCTCAGGACGAGCCCCAGCAGCAGTAAAATGAACCGTGACACAGACTGTGTGTGTGCATGTGTGTGTGTGATGTGTGTGTTTGACATTCGCGGAGCCAATGTCCCGTGATTAAACACATCAGGTTGGCATGAGCGGGATTACGTGGAGGGAGAGGTGGACATTATCTTTAGTAGGCAATCTGTTATTGTCAATGGGCCACGGTGACTGGTCACAATTTCACACTCAGCTGTAACTGTGGTCGAAATGGGTCCGGTTTAAAGGACCAGACTGTGCAACAGCAGGGAGCCGGACAGAGGAAAAACCAACATTATTCACTGGGAGATGGAGACAGAAGAGGAAGTGATGACAACAAAAAAGACGGATGGATGAATGAACAAAGAGAGAAAGGTAGAAATATTGTAAAGCATCATCGATACCCGAGGTTGCTGCTATCTTACAGTCTGGTTTTATTGCCAATAGAAAAGGTAGTTTTATCTGTTGTTTCAGTGGCCAGGCGTCACACTCAGAATTTGTCATCTATACTGAATCTATAGGGACGCAGTAAACAAGCTCTTTTTTCTATTTAATACATGAATTTACAAGTGGGAGCCAGTATTTCTATAACCCCTCAGACACTATGATCATACATAGAAATTAGCAGCACTGCAGTGTTTCTTTCCGCCGTCTCCCAGTCAGCAGTTTTGACCTTGATGGGTCTTATCTGTGCAAAAAACCCCATCCCAACACTTCACTGAGAGTTGTTTATACCACAGAAGAAGCTCCGTAGGCTATTTCTGCACAGACACACAGCCGTTCGCAGCAACTGCATCCTCTTTTTCACCTTTTTCCCCAGCCAGTCTGTCATTCTGGCCCGGTGCCCAGGATTGTTGTCCTGAAGGATTGCTGTTGTGGTCTTTAACCCAGGCGGGTTGTGTGAGGTAAAGAAGGGCTTCATTCTGACTGTTTTTTTTTTTTTTTTGGTACCAGTATTTGTAGTTTTTTTTAAGTTTCGCAGCAATACAAACAACTGCTAAACAGGGACAATATGCCAGAAAGAAATGTTATCATGACTATGCCAGGCTCGTCAAAACCCAAGATGTCAGTGTTTGCAGGTAGAGATCTTGACGCGGGCGAGAAAAATGAAAAACGAATCAGTTTGTCCACAATGCACAGATACTCTGTTTGTATGTGGGACTTCATTAAGGTGGCAGAACAGAGCCGGCTCCACCTCTCAGGTGACTGCAGTGCAGCAGCAGAGGTGACGAGGACTGACAGGTGTAGTGGAGCTCTTCTCTGTAAGAGCGGTGAGGCGTGATCTTCCTGCAGCGCATCATCAGCGCTGTCGTGTCCAAACTTTCTGTAGAGAATCCTTCGCCTGTCTGTGTCGATACAGAAATGATGTGGCAAGGAAACCAAGGTTACAAGCGTTTGTAGAATTTGCAGTAAATCGAGTGTATTTTTGTTTTGCAGTGCTGCTTGTAATATTTGAAGGTGATATTTTCTGACATTTTAAAGACCGAACATGCTCTGCAGATGTACCACAACTCAAACAACAACAACAAAAAAATGAAAACCCACTGCTGTCTTCCTCTAATACAACACAGATGTTGCCTGATTTCTGTGGTAGTTTAAATATGTCTACCACATGTGGAGCTGCAGGTTTTATATTTATCTGTTGGTAACACTTGTGGTTGTGTGTGTTTTCCTCTGGTAGGTCTGTGTGGAGGAAGTGCTTCTGGTAAAACCACAGTAGCCAATAAGATCATTGAAGCTCTGGACGTTCCCTGGGTGGTTCTGCTCTCGATGGACTCCTTCTACAAGGTACTAAACTCAAACTAATGTCATTTAAAATATAAACAAGCATTTAAAGAGTAGTGATTACAGAACATTAGCAGCTTTACTTACTGCAATTATGAGCTCTCTTTTAGTTATTCATCAGTCCGGGATATATTGGATAAAGCACTGGACTGAGGGCTGCAGTGCTGATGTCAGCACAGTGAGTAAAAGCCTCTGACGATAACCGTTTAAACACCATAGGTCATAGCAATTACAGGCGTCTCTCCTCTGAGACCAGAGGTCGATGAGTTCTCCGTTTCCTCGACTCACTGAATCCAAGAGAGTCAATTATGTCTGCATGTCTCTATGGATTGGTGCTGGTTGTTGTGTATTCATTTAACATCAGTGAGTGAAATGAGTGGGGTGGGTTCAGTCTTAAAGGAGAAATCCGCTCTGATCCTTGGCGCTGTTAGATCCTAGATATGAGCTTTAAAATGACCAGCTGAGAATTGTTGCTCTCAATTAAAGGTGGCTCATATATATATATACACACATACAGTAGATATCTAGTGATGTGTTGAAGGTGAATGGGAGAGGACAATTTTGGCGCTGGCAGTACCTTACATTCTGGTCTGTTGAGCCTCTTTAAATTTAATGTAACAGTTGAGCTGGTGCATATTCTTTTAAAGGTGAAATATATCTCTGCGGACTTTATGCCTTTGATAGACGGCACTAAAGGGCACCAGGACAAATGTGGATAAAAAAGAGAGTGGAGACGAGGCAACAGGAAGTCTGTGGGTGGATTTCAAGAATTGCAGTCGATGCAAACTTTCCTTTCCAATGAGAAGATAAAGATATAAAGATTAAAGATGTTTTTTGATCAGTAAAACTAATTTTTTCCATTCTTGCATCTTAAGACATCAAACATCATTTCATAATCACACACACTATGTGTTTCATTCCCAGAAAAAGTACCAGCTGTATTACATTTAACACACCCCATTAGCTGCTTGTTAAAGAAGGGAGGATTAACTGCCTCATTTCTGAAGTGCATTATCAACCTGTTCCCTTTGCACCTCGCTGAGAAAAACACAGACTTTTCAACAACTTTATCAGCTGTAATTGTAAAGATTTTTAACACTAATGCACAATGATACAATTGAAATTTGCTACACCACCATTGCTCTTATAAAATAACTGTAACCGAGCAACATCAGTCCCATCTTTAGTCTTGAATCTTGCATGGCTAACTCGTTGTTTGTGTTTCCAGGTGTTAAACAAAGAGGAGCAGGAGTTGGCAGCTAAAAACGAGTACAACTTTGACCACCCTGATGCCTTCGACTTCGAGCTGCTGGTCACCGTCCTCAGGAAGCTGAAGAAAGGGAAAAGCATCAAAGTGCCGGTGTACGACTTCACCTCTCACAGCAGACGCAAAGAATGGGTAAGACTGGTGTTATACTTGGTGTGTCTGACCCGCGGGGGTCCGCTGGGCTCTGAGTGATGTAAATTTCATCATCAGAGGGTGGATGCAAGGCTTTGTGGGAACGCCTGTGTACCCTCCAATTTGTTGTGACCGAGCTACACGGGCACCAACTTCACATGGCAGTCATGCAGCTCATAACTGATGACAACTGATACTGTATTACACTATTTTAGGCTCACCGAGCCGGAGGAGCGGCACAGCCCATAAACACTTTACACAATCAATTCCATTCACTAATGGGGAAACAGTAATAGCAGTGGGGTTTGAAGTCTTTTAATTATTGCTGCTAATCGTTCTCTCCGTAGCCTGTTTACTCACTGATCTTTAGGACTCAGATTCTCCTCCAGTGTCCCAGATTTAAGTAGAAACGAACACATGGAGACATAAAGCAGTGATGTGGAAATGAGTGTTGTTTTATGAACTAGTTGATTTGTAGTTGAAGTTGTCGCACAGGAGAATTTTTGTTCTTATGTGCACAACTCTGATCATACTCTTCATATTAAGTTTGTTGTCAAAATATGCACCTTTTGTGATTATAAAGACTAAAAAAATCTGTGTGTAAAAAATGAAGACAGATCCAGGACAGTCGTCGCTCATCATTCAGACGCTGTTTCATAGTGAAATTCTGAAAAAACATGGATCATACATGTTAAAAATTAGCTGAGTAACAACCCGCGTGTAGCGGCACAAACATCCTTTGTCAGTGTGTGAGCTTTCTGTCAGAAGAGTTCCTTGGTTCTTTGTTCTTTTTTTTTTAACTTTTGTGTTTCCCACCAAAGACCTTCATCATACTTTGAACCTCTGAGAACTCCGGAGTGGAGATGTGTGTATGTTGGTGATAAGTTTCAGCAGTCTTTACGGCTCTTCAGTATCTTTGGTACGACGACCTCTCACTATCAGTCCCGGCAGAAAGGCGGTGTCCCACCCACTGTGTATGTGAAGCTTGCACACAAACCGAGTGGTCTGTCTCACTGTTTATCAGCACAACAACAAGTCCTGGACCTTACAAGCAAAAGAAGCCATTGTGCTTTCTGGTAACCCCTCCTTGTGTGTTTTTGTGGCAGCTGACTTGTGAGCATTGAAGTGGTGGTGTCCCATTCTGGTTAATGGTGTTAGAGGCTGTAAGGAGTTCTTTAAATAGCCGTTATTTATTGTATATTATGCTTATTTATATAATTCCCCAGGTGTTGTTGAGTGTTCACCTCTCTGAAGTCAGAAAGATCACATCTGAGTTACTTTGACCAAATCTATGTTGTTTTTACTTTATTAATTTGTGATTATTTTATTTATTGATTTACTGAAAAACCTCACAGATATTAGTGATAAACTGGATTACTGATCTGTGATGAACTCCTCATATGTGACAGCATCTATATTCTGATAAAGTGCTATTTGTCATTTTGATAATAAGAATGAATGAGAAGAGGCGGATGAATAAAAGTAAAACACAAATGCATTTTTTGGACATGAACTGAAAAGGTTAACTATATAAATAAAGCAGGTAGATCTACAAGCAGAGGTGATAATCATGTATAATATTTCCATGTCGTCTTTGTAGTTGGAGAACAGGGACACAGGCCTCAGTGGGACAGCACATGTCAGTTCTCTTCACCATAAAAAGAAAATTGAATCAGTGTTTTTTTTCCAGGATTAAAATTACCGTTGCTGTTACAAATCACTGAACACCCCTGGGGATGTATTCATCGTTTGAGCTGATGCCAATTGAGCTGCCTGCTAATTTGCTAATTATTAAGGATTTAGTTTACAGGACATTAACCCAAGCAAAGAGCACACATCCCCTCCCAGAAGCATTGTGAGGAATCAATCTGGCAGTGTAGTACTCTGACAACTACTCTCTATTTCTTTGCAGTGTAATTTCATGGCTGAAAAGCACCAACACCACGCGGGAAATCGCCTATCACGACTTGTGACTCTGAAATCATTTTATGGGCCTTTTGTACTGTGCTGGATGTAATTAAGCCTCTGGCCCCCGAGGGTGCTGAGGCCTTTAAGGGCCACCCAACTGCAGGCTGTATATACTGTGTGTGTGTGTGTTTCTACCAGTTACATGGATGAACAAGAGGGCGTAGCCGAGTTTTCTTGTTTCTTCTCTGGTAAAACTGGAGGTCACCTTTTCTCTCTCCCTCTCTCTCTCTCTCTCTCTCTTTCTCTCACCAACATTTAAACATGTTAAAGACTCACTAAATCATCTCTTAGCTAAAAGCTAAGAGGGAAATGAACAAATCGATAAACACTCATCTGTTTCTTTAGAGTTCACTTTCTCTGCTTCACACACAACCTCACCTCCTCCCTCTCTCCCTCCCTCTCTCTCTCTCTCTCTCCCTCTCCCTCCCTCTCTCTCTCCATCCCTCTTTGTTTCTGCTCTCTCTCTTTCTCTTTTTCTCTCCCTCTTGCTCTCTCACTTCCTCAGAATCGATACTAAAGTGTCCAGCCCATTGACTTTAGCATGAAGCTGGTCAGAGGAAGGTAATAGGATTGTGACATACTCAGCATCATTTTGTCTTTGATTGAAGCAGTGATTAATCTCTCTCTCATCCACACGCACACGCACACACACACACACACACACACACACACACACACACACACACACACACACACACACCATCACACACACAGCTGCTTGCCTTGGTAGTAAAGCAGGTTCACAGTGAGCAGTGAGGTTCATCAGATAACAGCAAAGAACATGAGAACAGCTGGTTGTGGCCGTCCTGTATTTTCCTTTAAGCAGCTGACATCCTGTGTCTGCTTGCTCATATAGAAAGTAGACAATTTAAAAGATCCCCTTGTGAAGTTTTTGACCCCTGGTACAGATAAACGGGCCCCAGTTTTGTCTGTGTTTTTGCACATGTGAGCACGGTAGTGATACGATGCACATTAATGTCAAACTGCTGGTACTTGCCATGGATATCATGGTGGACAAGTGCCGCTTGTCTTTTATCATAGAACGGTTATACCAAGATCGTTGTAGCCAAATTTGTTCTCCAGTTTTGTTACTTAAATGCTGTTTGGACGCTTCATCACCTGAAAGACCTCTGTTTAATCAATATCTATTTATTCCTGACAGAAAACAGTGTATGGGGCCAATGTCGTCATCTTTGAGGGAATCCTGGCCTTCGCCAACAAGGAGCTTCTGAAGGTAAGAACAGTATAATCCTCCCCTCCTCCTCCTCCTCCTCCTCCTCCTCCTCTTCCTCACCACGCCAAGGTCACATTCATCTCCTATTACAAATGAGATTTTCACTCTGACTTTGCCCCATTGTGTTTTTAAACCACACACACCTGACATGTTTCCCACATCAAGCCCCATTTAGAACAACACAATATCATCCATCCTCGACAAGCAGACGTCTCTAATCAATCCACGATTTCAAAAACCAAAATGATGACTTCAAATTAGTTTGAATGTTTTAATATTTCAGATGCTGCCAAAAAAAAAAAAATCGGGTTGGGATCAGATTTCTCTTGTGTTGTTCAGTGTCTCTGTCGGACCTGATTAATGGCTCTGGCAGCTCAGAGACAAACAACAGGCTGATTAATAAAGAGCTGAAGGTTCTGATTCTGAGGAGGGAAATTAAATCAGATAACTGCTTATCTGTCTATAATTTATCTGTCTGATTATGGTGAAATATTTCACATGTGCATAACACTTTTTGTTAAATATCAAATATCAGTGTTGTTCTCTACAGTCAAAATATTTGATTATCTTTTTTCCCCCTAGAATTAAATATGTAATTGAATTTTAAAGGTTAAGAATACACACCAAAATGTAAATTCAGTCCAAACAGTTAAATGAAAGCCATTAACAGCTGTATGAGGAGAGCAGACCTGGTTTATGAGGAGAGAATTAATTCAGCAGTTCTTTATTATGATGCTGTTGAGGGCCGGAGGAAATCCATACGCAGTGAACAGGAGTCTTCTTTATGGCTGCTCAGCATCGTGCTCCTCAAGCTTGTGTGTGTGTGTGAGAGATTGTGCGTGATTGTGAGAGTGTGTGTGAGTGAGCTGGACCGTGGCGATAAGGTGGACTACCTCCCCTGAGACGCAGCTGTGTAGTTGATTACCCTCTGATTCAGTTAATAACAGCGGTTGTCCGCGGTGATTAATTGTGGTCTGTGTCCATTCTTGGAGTTGGAAGTCAATTAAAGCGGCATCTGATATGCTAATGAGGAGATGTGGTTTAAGAAACTGAGCTACAGACACACATTCAGTTGTCACTTTATTAGGAACACCTAATGCAGCCTGGTACAACAGTGCTGATATAAATCGTCCTCTGTGACGGCTCTAATTCACTTTTTCTACTTTTCTAGTTTTTTTTCTAAGTTGAAACCTGTGACTCAGTTTGGAGGCTGCAGTTTGTGGTGCCACTAAATTGTTATATGCAGAGGTGTTTCTATTATATTTTTCCACCTCATTAACATGAGTGAGGGCAGGCTAAACCACAGAAACAGCTCTCTGTATAATGCAGTTCAACTGCAGCACAAACTGCAGCCTCCAGAGTGATCACACAGTCGAATCAACTCTTCTCTGAAACCGTTTCAACACAAACTGAACATTATAACTTTCATGAAGGAGGATTTATTGCAGGACTGTTATATTAGTCAGAATTAGGTTTAGTCAGATGAACATGACATTTGAGTGTATAACCTTTATTTACTTGTTTACCTTGGCCAGGCCAAGTGTGAGGCTTTTTCTCTTGCCTGCAGTGTTTGTTAGAAATAGTTTTGTATTTGATTGCATTCTCTGTGGTATAAGAAGTTAGTTATTAATATTGCAGCACTACATCAATCTAAAATTCATTAAAACGATTGCTTAGATGTTGCTTCTCAGTGCAGGAGCTGCATCCTGTAGCAAAGCCCATCAAAGTTATTGTAAGTGCAGCCTCCTCTTGTGTTGATGAAGAAGACACAACGTGCGTGAGCCTTTTGCCTTTTGCCGTCCGTCAAGTTACATCAGATTTTGTGTTCGGCTCCTGCCCAAACTTCCACTCTTTTAAATTTGATATTATTCACCTCTTACTTAAGTGAATATATTTTACAGTACATTTGTTTAGTCCTACTTCATTAACAATAAAGCATACTCTCACATTTTTGATTGCAGCGTTATGCTTAAATAACTTTAAATAATATTCACATCCCCATAACTCGTAATCAGATAAGAGTAACAAACATTCATTTCTTCTGGTTGATAATATTCATTTAATCCATACCAGTAGTGTCTTTAAGTCCTTCCACAAGCTGAACGTTGATGTCTTTCTCTGCTGAGACACCAAGAGTCCACACGGGCGTTTCACCTTTCTGTGATTTGTTTTCCCTGAACACAGCGGTGCGCCGATTTAATACTGTCACAAACTGAAAGTGAAACTTCATTCTTCCTTCTGGCTCTCTTCCTTCTTTTAACAGAGGTTTTTTTCCTCTTTTTCCTTAATCTGAGTTTGAACTCAACAGCATCACACAATCCATTGCATGGCATACAGTCGTTAATAGTGCTGTCAGACGATCCTGATCAACTCACACAATTAAGAAACATCATATAACCTGATATTTTTGTGTAAGTGGTCATCACTCATTGGTAAATACATGACTTCAACTGGACCAATGTGAAAACAATAGAAACCAAGTCCTTAATTTCCCTCATCATTTTCAAGTTTCCTGCAAACAACTAATGTATAAGAATTAACTCAAAAGAAATGCTGATTTTAAACCAAAATAAGAAAGTTCATAGGAAATTATTTTGAAATTACAGACCCATAAAATAAAAGTGTTGTCCTCAGTTTTCCTGATGTTCCTGTTGGAGCAGGTTAGAAAATGATCTACAGCCGCTGCCTCGCTCTCTAACCTTTTGGAAACAATCCACTCCTCATTCCACAGGCCGACAGCCGTGCTTATCCAGCAACATGCCACCTTTTGGTTGGTCAGTTTGTCAGATTTACAGCAGACAGAATCCACTGGCTCGTTGTGCAAATGAGTTATACCTGTAGCCCTCCAACCCCCTCATCTAAATCACTCTGAAACCCCCCTTTCATTCCACCAGTCACCAGTGGTTCTTTGTGAGAGCGAGGCTGCTTCTTCTTTGTTGTTGCTCCTCTGTTGTGATGCTGCCACATTGATTTTTCCTGGTTTCTGCTGAGTTAAGGTTCAGTTTAATGGAGCTCAGCAGACGGACCAGCGGTGATAACTGACGTCTCCTCGGGTCACACTTCTGATTCTTCAGCGTTGCTGAACCCGGCGTCATGTTTCAGCTGTAAAAATGTGGAACCATGGAAGCAGCTCAGAGTGCTGCTTTTTCACTGTGCGACAAAGCAACACAAGCGCTGTCAGCTTCTCTCACAGGGTTTAAATGTGAAGCCTGTTTCTGCTTGTTTCTATGCATTTATATTAGGGCTGAACAATTAATCGAAATATGATCAAAACTGCAATGTGGCCAAGTGCAATAACCAAATCACAATTTTTTTTTATTTTTTTTGATAAAGGGTAAAATGTGTCACAACAGACCATAAATGAAGCGTTGCGGTGCTACAGAGACGCCCCAGCTTATGAATCATATTCTCCAGATGTAAAGGAACATGTTTGTTTGGAACAAGCCCAGGCAAAAATCACAGTATCATCATTTTTAGATTTTTTTCAGTGAAATGAAATGCAAAAAGGACCACTCCAACTGAAATCATGACTCAGTCGCAATATGACTACTTTTTGCATATCGTTCAGCTCTAATTTATTCTATACTTAATATACTGGGGTTCAGAGAAACAGTCAATTCATCGACTTATTGATAAACAGAAAATTAATCCCTAACAATTTGAGTTAAAAAAAAAAAAAAAAAATCAGAAAATTGCTTGGTTTTCTTTGTTTTCCATGTTCATAGATTGCATATCTTTGGATTCTGGACCAAACAAGTCATTTGAATATTTTATCTTGCGGTGTGTGAAAATCGAATGTCATTAATCGACTGTCAAATATTGATTAACATGAATATTTTATTGGCTAAACAATTTATCAAGAAAACATTCAGCAGAAGACTCGATAATATGATAATAATTAAATCATTAGAGTGAAACCAATATAATCTGACAGTGTAAGTAAACAGTCATCTCGTGGTCCACTTAATCAACCTCTCAACAACAATTCATTTTAATTCATTCATTTTTTTTGTTGGTTTCTTTTTTTCCATAGAGAAGTGATGAAATGTGAGATGTCTAGCTGTCCATATCTACAGAATAAATCAACACCAGTACAGATTCATTAAAGACTCCCCTTCTCTTCCCATCAACAGCTTCTGGACATGAAGGTGTTTGTGGACACGGACTCTGACATCCGCCTGATACGGAGGCTGAAGAGGGACATTTCACAGCGCGGGCGGGACATTAGTGGCATTATCAAGCAATACAATAAGTTTGTAAAGCCAGCGTTCGAACAGTACATCGAGCCCACAGTGCAGGTGGCTGACATTGTGGTGCCCAGAGGTCAGTGGTCAAATTTGCTTTCTTAAATAGAAATATACCAGCTCTTTACTTGGTACTGGTCTTACTGGGCTTCATCTGATATAAAATACACAGGTGAATGAAGTATCCTTGTTCTGGTCAAAAGCAAATCTTTAGCACTGCTGTCTGGGCTAAAACAACATTAAATATTGGTGAATTTGATTCCAGTTTCATATTAATAAGTGTCGTGTTATGGTATCTGAAACCAAAAACATCAATTGTTACTCATCTCTGTGTAAGCACTGAATAACTTTAATTAGACAGATATTTCAGTTAAAAGTACATTCTTGTTGCGTGTGTCTTAAACTTGTCTGATTTTCAGGGGGAGAGAACTTTGTTGCGCTGGATTTGATTGTTCAGCACGTTCACAGTCAGCTGGAGAAGGTAAAGCTCCCTCACAGTTTCTCATTTGGTGTTTCTTTCAGGATTTTACTGATTCAGCTGAACATGTTGTTTATCTTGGTTATTTCCAGCCTTATAGATTGTTAGTCTTTGTTCAGGCTGTGAGGGTCTTTTGTGGAGAAAGTGCTGCCTCAGCTTCATGTTGTGCTGATTAGAGTATTTACAGTTTATTTTCTATTATCTGCAGTTGCTGCTGATAAAAGAATGTTTTAAACACAACAGAGGTAAACACAATCACGAAGCGAATGGGCTTTACAATGATTAAAATATGAACCAATTCTACATCTTTGGCCATGGCAACTTGGAGCTCACATAAATTGCCGTCCATGCTCGGTCATATGTGCTCTAATAAGCTTCCTAAAGTTTAGAAAGAAAGCCTGCTGCCCTGCTCCTGTCCTCCATTAACTTAAAGCTGAGAAAGGTCCTGGTTTGATTAAAAGGAGGGTGGAGGAGTGGACGAGTGTGAACACGGCCTGTGGCGCTTTAGTGGGAAACGGCTAATAGGGGTCAGTTTGTTGGGCCTGCACAAAATACACAATGTTAACACACAAGACTGGGCTCTGAGTTTCAGTGTTTTAAATTATTTCAGAGGACAAATACATTACATACTCTGGTGGGATTAATCTCAAAATGTCTCACAAATCTACTTTTTGTGTTGACACAGCTCTGAAATGTGATGCTTACTTATAGATACAGTATAAATACATGTGTTTTTTCCAGCATTTTCTTATAATGGTAGATCTAATATGAGGTGAGCCTTTCTCAACGGGGAAGGCAGGATGTGTATCGTTTCCAGCCCTCTCTCTCGTGCTGTTATCACAGCCTGTGGTCGGCATTGAGTCAGGTGTTTGTGCAAAGACTATTGTGTCACATAACTACCTGAAAGATGACAAATGTGACAGTCTCAATATCAAATCTGAACTCTACTCACACGTCTGCCATCACAATTATCATCACAAATTTTTGTGTGATGATCCCTGTCACTCTCTGCAGAGCAGTTGCAGAGAGCAGGTTCAGTCACATATCATAAAATACAGGTTTAGTGCCATTAAAAGACCAAGAGTCCAAGATTGAAGTAACAAATGCTTAATTCTCCCACTGTAAAGTCACAAAATGACATTCATTAGCCACAGCTTCTGGATGTCACAGTGTTTACTTTGAGTGAAGGTATTTGTTTTACCACTTCCCCCCTCTGCTGGTGGAAAGAGGTAAGGTTTTCAGGTTTTCATGTTCACTGCAGGAGAACTGGGAGAACTGGAATAGACCATTTGGTTTTCACAATCTGCTCGACAGCCTGTCGTTAAGGGTCAGTCACGCACAAAAGACAGTAAGCTGTAGTTCTCCTTCAAAATGATAAAATCACACAAAAAAACAGATTGAAGATTCAAGTTTTTTTCATCCTTAGTCAATTAAGTTTTCTGAGATCTGGTTCTCCCCTTCTTCCCTCTATACCCCATTGAACCTGGTGAGACAGAGCCCCACAGTTGGTACCTGAGATTAATGATCCTGTAAGGAGAGGAGAGGTGTCCTTTATCTTTCTTCTCACACACACTGTACTGTCATCCAGCCATTTTATGACCTGTACCAAACTATGATTTGTTCCACCTTTTAACATATTCATTCAGAGCACAAACGACACCTTTCACACGTGCGACACCTGCGTTATGTAACATGGAAGGACGAGCGGAAGCACACACACAGATTGGCATTATAATCTCCTGTTTTTGCTAAATTGACTTCACTCACTTAATTTTTTCTCCTTTACTCATGATAGTGATTTGTACTCGTGTGTATTAATGGGATAAATTATAGTCTTTAAATCTTTATCGGAGCTTCTTCTTGTATTACAAAGCCTTTTATTTACTCAGTTTCATGTAACATACAGGTTTGTTAAGTTAAGACCAAACTGAGGGTTAAACTCTGCATTTCTGTTTCACGTTCCTCATTGTTTTATAGCATTTGCCCCAAAGTAGAATATACACATCTGAACATTTTTATCTGTTGAGTTCACACCTTTACTGTCCAGCAGCCAGGCACCATAAAAACTATATAGACACAATATGATAATAAAAGAGTTGGAGGTGTTCTATTATTGCCATACAATATGAAATAAAATGAAAGGTTCTTCTAATAAGAGCAGTGAGATGAAGTGCTGTACATTGAGGCAGTTTGTTGTATTTGAATGAAGAGTGTTTATTGCACATGGGATAAATGAAAACTAGAGCCTGTTGATTTTCAGAGATTTCTCCGCAGAGGGGGAGAGACAATTACCTAAAAAAAGAAGAACTAGTCTGGGTTTGCAGGAACAATAAAAAACAGTATCAAGGCAAAGCTTCCCGCATCATGAACTGGTGCTGCAAAATGTTTATTGAATACAGCTACAACATTTCAAGTAAACCTGATGGAGGAATGCACTCAGGTTGATGTGTATGGAGAAGTGGGACAGAGACTTCAGTGAAATGAGAGCTTAAATCATGTAATGATATTAATAAGAATATTTTATAATATCAATATACACTCAGTTGACAGTTTAAGTACACCCAGCTGAAACTAATACAACAGTCCTGCAATAAATCCTCCTTTATGAAGGTCTGTTATTAACTCTACCTGCTGATATAAACAGGCTGGACAAAATAATAATAAAAACACCTGTCAGTAAAACTCAACACACTTAAACAGCACCACTAACTACAACATGTGAAATGACCACACCAATGTATCAACACCAGTTTCAACACAAACTGAACATTATAACCTTCATGATGGAGGATTTATTACAGGACTGTTGTATTAGACCGACTCAGCTTTAGCTCAGTGCAGCTAATAAACTGAGGGTGTATTGAAAATGTTAGTAAACTTAAAATAATAACAACAATAACAAATTATTTGTTAGTTTTTTATTTTTTATTTATTTCTTTTATAAGTTATTAATTAACCAACATGTTAAAAGTTAATATATGATACTATTGAACTGAAGTTGAGTTTGTGGAGTCGCACATTTTAACAGACAAACATTTGTTTGCTTTAAATGTTTGAAATTGTTTTGGGGGTTTTATGTTATACTTTCTCACAAGTGGCTTATCTCATGTTTTCTTTTGTTTCTCACTGTTTGCACACACTCATGCGTGTGTGTGTTTGGGTGTGTGTCTCCTTGTGCGTGCACGCCCCCTCCCTCCTTGCCTGGCTGAATGCTGTGTAACCATTCCAGCGTGAGATCACTGTGAGGTACGACTGTCAGTGCTTTTTTTATTCCTACATCTTCTCCCTCTCACTTCCTCTGTCTGCTCTTTCTTCCTCTGCTCTCTCTTCTTCTGCTCTCACTTCTTCTCCCTCTCACTTCTTCTGCTCTCTCTTCCTCTGCTCTTTCTTCCTCTGCTCTCTCTTCTTCTGCTCTCACTTCTTCTCCCTCTCACTTCTTCTGCTCTCTCTTCTTCTGCTCTCTCTTCCTCTGCTCTTTCTTCCTCTGCTCTCTTCTTCTGCTCTCTCTTCCTCTGCTCTTTCTTCCTCTGCTCTCTCTTCTTCTGCTCTCTCTTCTTCTGCTCTTCCTCTGCTCTCTCTTCCTCTGCTCTCTCTTCCTCTGCTCTCTCTTCTTCTGCTCTCTTCTTCTGCTCTCTCTTCCTCTGCTCTCTTCTTCTGCTCTCTCTTCCTCTGCTCTCTCCTCCTGTGCTATGTCTTTTTCAACCACACTTCATTTAAAAACGAAGACAAGATTAACAGCTGTCTTGTTTGGTGTGATTTTATCTTTTTAACTAATAAACCAGTCAAACCATTGTAGTCTGCTGCTCTCAGCCTGATTTACCCTCATAAATAGCCATCATGATTATCTCTGAGAGACGAGGCATGAGAGGCAGTAGAAGGACCAACCACTGTTGACATGCTTTGGTTACAATGTAGACATGAATCCTCTTTGTTTCTGAGTGATTGTTGATTTATGCACCACAGTAAAAATATTCCATTTCATTGTGAAAACACAATATCTGCCTTAATTATTCATAGAAATGAAAAACGCACATCGGCAAACAAGTAATCTACGTCTTGAAAAGTGCTTCAGGTCATTTTATGTGTAAAAGATACAGTGAAACCTCATATGAATTTAGCGGCTCTTACTGGCTCTGAAATAACTACCTGGGCCATTTTATCACTAATATAAAACTTTATAAATATAAAAAATATAAACTTAACTTTATGCCTGTTAATAATACATGGTCTTGATTAGTATCCAGAGCAGTGAGGTAATGGCCTCACACAGTTGCACAGATTTTGTCATCCCTGAGCCAATTTCATATTTAGTAGATTTTTTAAAACTCTGCAGCAAACAGACATTAGAAAGGAGCCTTTCTTCAAAACGTTGATGCACGTCACTTTTTTCTTCATCGGAGTGAAAAAGAACACAGAAAAAAACAAAATGAACAGTGATTGTGCTCATGTCAAAAGTTTTAGCCCCGTATTGGAAGTCAGTCGAGAGTTGATAGAGTGTTGCGTGCTGTTAAAATATTCGATCTCCTGCAGTTGAATGAGCTCCACTTGAATAGAGCTAAAGCTGGCTTTGACGAGATAAAAACGTGTTCAAATTTTGAATGCACTAAGAGCATCCTGAGAAAATGGCTGTTGTTAAAAAGGTAAAACTCTCCACAGAATAAATGAACTGAAAACAAATTATTCCAGCACTATTCATAGCTCATCAGCCTTTTGCTGTCATATTTTATTGTCAACCAATAGAGTTATGTGTTAAGTTATGAGGCCCAGAAAATATCATTATTCGTGTTTTAACATTAGGTGAATCTGCATCCACAGTGTTCCACAGGCCACGCTTCACACAGCCACACTTAGAGTGCAGCCGAAGCAAGAAAACTGCAGAGTGGGAGCTCTGGTCTTTAACATTAAGTCCATGAGAATGAATAGATACCTAAAATATTACCAGTGTAGTGTGTGTCCTCTGTAATAGAGAGGATATGACACGCTGAATAAACGTTCTCACAGGCTTTGGGTAAAATGAACAAAGACAAAACTATATTTTCAGATAATTATTTAATTATATTTTAGATGTTGATTTCTAGTCTCTCTAAGTGGAAGTTTGTTAATGATGGTTTGCAGCAATAGAGGCTGTATCTTACCTGAGCAGCACAGAGAACGACTGATATTCTTAGCCCTGTGACAGTTGACCCGACTCATGAGATAATAAATTGGCCTGAGCTGCTGCTCAGCTCCTGAGCTCAGAGTACTTTGGTCCAGCGTTGCTGACAGTGATGTAGTGGGGAGCTGTGTTCACTGCTCTAATACTGTTCTTTTTCTCTTCTCTGTTTTTTTTTTTTTTTTTCTCTTGTCTTGGTGTCTATTGTTTCTTTCCTGTATTTTCTTTTCTCTGGTCCACTCCTCACTTTTAATCACTTTATTTCACCGAGCAAATATCTGTCACCTTCTTAGAAGAGGAAGCTCCCGCTGGGATAGTGTGAGGCTCCCCCTGTGCATGCCTCCTTTAGTTTAGAAATTTAAAATAACACAGTTTTTTGTGGTTTTTATGCACTCTGGCATTTTGCTGTGTCTTTTGAACTGAATGAATGCCTTCATAGCCGTTAAGCTCAACATGCTTGTTTGCTATTTTGGTTTGCTGCCTTTTATATCACCAAAATCAAGACACACTGAGCTTGTTATGGCAGAAAAGCATTAAAACTCATTTGCAAGAGCATGCAGCAACCAAAGCAGCACAGAAGTCTGGTTGTCATCTGGTTCATTGCTCTCTAACATTGAATGCATGTGTTTCGAAAGTGTATGTGCCACAATTTTCTAATTTATGGAGTTACCCTAGCATGTTCCTTGTTTTTCCTTTTAGGCGGTATGGCTGTAGACAGGTGAAGGGCTCA